GTGAATATTTGGTAAGTTAAAGTCACCCGCTAATATAATAATATCATTTGGATGTATAGTTACCATCGAGGAGATTACTTCCTCCACAAGCGTCAGACGATAAGACTGCAAATTATCGCCAGGAATGTATGCTACCCCAATGTGTACCGGGCGACGTTGTACTCTGCTTAGTGAGCAATTGTAACAGTTATCCAAACCATTTCAATACCATCTCGATAAAACTCTGATCGTTCTTGTGCATGAAAAAGACGTTTAACACAAATTAATGCTCCTCCTCCAATAACTTTTTGAGAAGATTTAAAACTACGATCACACCTGAATACCTCATATCGGTTATCGCAGAAATCACTAGATCAAATACTTTCATTAAGCCAAGTTTCCGTTAATAATATCAAATCATAATCGTTACTAAGAATGTTCTGATATAATGTATTTACTTTTGTCCGGAGACCTCTAACGTTTTGGTAATAAAAAGTGAATGTACTACTCATTATTGTTGGTAAAATGAATGGAACTTTTGTTATAAATTATGGTGAATAGGAAGTTAATTATTAGTAACGACAATGTCTCAAAGATGCATACCGATATTAAGGAAAATAAACATGAATTAAAATTTTCAATACGCGACCCGCGAGAAAGTAAAGCACATAAAAGTGTAATGTTATTTGTGTCTGGAATGAATATAGTGTAAAATACATTGTTACAAAATAAACCATATTTGTTATACCAATTAAAGTTTAAAGACTTCAAGTTATTTTTAACAAATCTTTTTCTGATAAAATCGATATTGCCGGCGATGTTTCGTTTTTCCTTGTAAAAATTAAACAGTTTTTTGTCCATACAAACTTATAGGCCATCTCAGTTGCCCTTAATTTGCACCTCTTGTAAAGAGCTTTGTTTTCGGGAGTAAGGTGATCATTAACATAAATAGGCTTAGGTTGACCAAGGATATCTAGATCTTTTGTTGTGACTCCACGTGATTTTTTAAGGCCAGAGATTACACTGTCTTTTAAATACCTTCGAGAAAATTTTGCAACGATGACTCTCGGTCTACCTTCAACTCGTTTCTGTGGTTGTACCCTACTTGCGAATTCAATGTCCTTTTCATTAATCTGGACTCCTGCATGGCCACAGATCTTTAGTATAACTTCGTTTACGTTTTCATTTTTAAGTTCAGGAACCCCGAAAACTTCAATGTTCTGCAGCCTTGACCATTGCTGTTGTCTAGAACCTTGTTTACGAAGTTCACTTAAAGTATCCTCCAAGATGGTAACCTGACTCTTCAAAGCGATGCATTCCTCATTCAGTCTAAAGATAACTTTTTAAATATCTAGACAACATTTTCTTGAAATTAGCTTCATTGATATTAAGACAGGTGTAATGATATTTCTTGACGCATTCTGAACATGATATTTCTTCCTTCTTTGGTATTGCTTGCTTACATGTATTGCACTTTGACGACATTTTAATATTATTAAAGAATATTTTTTAATAATGTATGAAGGTAGTAGCAGGTAAACAACTGCCGCGTGCCGGACGATTACGCTGCAGTGGACTTTAATTTTTATCAATGTCTTGAACAATGCTTTCGACTAAAAAGTCCTAAGCGCCATGTAGATAGCGGCGCTTACGCGTTTTAATAGTAGTCACCAGCTTAAATAAATTTATTGAGAGTTATGGACGATTTCACTGTTTCACTTTTATGTTGTATTAATTTCACTGTTTGTAATATGTTCTTTACGAGATTTTTACTTATCACTTTCCATCAAAACACTCACTTTACTGATAGAAGATTTATAAGTAGATATTTTATTAACAGAACGGCGATTTGAATACGTGTTGCTCGCACGCTCGCGAAGTGATGGATTGGATTGTCATGTTTGAATCTATTTACAATTGAATTTGAATATATTTACTTCAGTATAATTAAGTAATCTGGTAAAATTTTTCGTTCGTAGAGGCACTGATGCAATGCATATCATTTGTTTTAAAACGCAAGCGGACCGGGAAAATGAGAATATGCTGACAATCAAAGAAACAGCCGGTTGGCAAGTCTTTTTCTTTCTTGTTTGTTTTGTATGATGTTCTCGTTTCGTGTGTTCCGGTTATATTTTTTTCATCTTCAATCAAGGGGACTACGTGTAGAGTAATTTATACCTGGTCATACCTGATCTTGGTTGTAGACTGTGGGACGTCGAAGCCGGGAAAGTGGGTTGCAATTGAAGATTGTGTTAAATTTTTGCTCGTCTTGGGTGTAGAGGTACGCGAACTCTTATGTTAGAGTAGATTTTCGGAGGGAACCCTGAGGGTCCAGTGTACCAAGCCCGCATAGGCGTATACAGCGTGTCGTTACCATCGCGACAATAAATGAACACACGTCTAACGCTACTTGCCAATAATCATAAAAAAATATTAACATTAAACAAAATCCATAATTAAAAAAAATATTTTTCAAACAAACTAATTAAGAAAAAACAAACAAAATTTGTAACATCCTATACAACTCGCGCCACAGCGTCGCATTACAAGCCTGTCCTTCTAACAGTATGTTTTGTCTCTTTTAAATTCATTCAACCCATTCATATGCTTTGTGACCTTTACAAATGAACTTTACGTTACGCTTTTATAGGTAAGGGTGTTCTAAAATTCTTTGTTTTGGAAAATTTAATAACTCTGTAAGTATTGATGTTTAAAGAATTTAAATGTTTAATACAACTTTAAAAAGTTATCCCCTATATATGTGTTCATTTATTGTCGCGATTGTAACGACACGCTGTATAGCAGGGGGGCCGGGCACTTTACACAACGTACTAACTACTAATTAGTTAATACTACTATTATAAATTAATAAAATTTACTAACGATAACGAACTGTTACTTTTATAATGCGCATATTGTTCGTTTTTTTAGTTAAGTCCCAGGCCCACCCTGAAAAATAACCCTACTACGCCAATGCAAGCCAGTCCAGTCCGCCAAGGAAGTTATGCGGATGATTTTATGGATCGCGTTCGGTTATGATTGGTGATTTTATGCGTTAGAACTAAAGGGTTCTTTCATTGAGGGCAATATTATAAAAAAAAAACAAAACAAAAAACAAATATGGAGGTTTCCTCAAAATGTATTATTTCACCGAGGGAACGTGATAAATCAGCACTTAAAATTGCTATTGGTAATTCTTTTGGTACCGGAAATCAGGTTGCTCGAATAATAAGTCTGCCAATATGCAGTGTGGTCGTACTTTGGACTAATATAGAGGAGGCCTTGGCCCAGCAGTGAGACACATATAGGCTATTACTGACTTACTGTGTATCACAATCCTGATGACAGGTTCATCGGCGTATCAGGTTACATGACGAATGAAATCGATGAGAATAGGCTAAGCGACTGCTTTGATTGCGCCACCGTATATTACGTCTCAAGTACCTGGAGGACCGAGCTTTGCTCGGTTTGTTTTTTTTTTGGTAAATCGTGTATTTTGGAAATTACATTTAGATACAAATTACTAAGTAATGAAATATGCATAATGTTTCGATCTTACCGACGTAATAATAAGAAAATATGAACTGGCGTTTTTCACAAAAGAAATAACTTTAAAAAAAGGGGAAAAAAGTAACAAAATAACAAATCGACAAAAAATAACAGATAAAGAAAGCAATAATCTGGAATCGAAAAAAAAATAAGTGTGTAAATGATCGTGATACGGACCACGGCCTTCTGCTTCGTGGCTGTTTGTTAGCGGCCGCCCGATTACCGACCGAGCTATTATAACATTTTTTTTTTCGGTGAAATTTACCGTCGCATTCGAATAATATTTTTCATTTTATTTTCGCCCCCGAATCTACGCACATACTAAATTTCATGAAAATCGCTGGAGCCGTTTCTTTTCTCGTATATATATATATATGTACAAGAATTGCTCGTTTAAAGGATAAGATTATCCTCAACCTGTTATTAGCGAAAAAAATTAATAAGTACTAAGATGTTTGGATGTGGCATACTTTGTACTTAAGAATATTCTGGCGATTGTAAACTTTATATTGATATTAATTGTAAACTTAGAATCGATATTTTTATTTTTAGGGTTCCGTACCTTAAAAGGTAAAAAAGGAACCCTAATAAGATCACTCTTGCTCTTCTGTCTATCTGTGTGTCACAAGACAGTGTCTATAGGGCCTACTAGAGGTACGAGTTCGACTCACGCTTGACCGGTTTTTTAAACGTGTCATAGGTTTATTTGTATTGTGCTACAATACAAATAAATCTATAACACGTTTGAGTTAAAACTTGAATGACGAAATCAAAGAATGACCAAGTCAAGCATGTAGGTAACTCACCTAATGTTAGGTAAGAGATTACCGCCGCCCGTGGACATCTGCAATATCTGAGGGGTTTCAAAGTGGACCCTGGTTACCTCATTCACCGGACGAAATGCGAAAATATAACTTATATACTTCCACTTCACGCTGGTCTTCTGTGGCCGTGTTACTTCCCCGGATGAGCCCGCCCATTTGAGCAACAGTAGAAGCTGCTGCGTGGCCCAACCACGGTAAAATAATTAACTCGGCTTTTTGAAAAACAGTAGTACTAGGTCCGCATACATTATACAGGATTGAGACGTTAATATCTTGCTCAATTTCGGGCTTTCGGGGAATCTGAATAAAAAAATAATGGACGAGGGAAAAAAATAATATCTTCAGAAATACATACGGATTACTTGTTCTGAGTATTTGAAGAATTTTAACCTATTTACAACTAACAATTATCCGTATACCTCAATATATTTAGGCACACATATTTGGCATTAACCGAACAGAAACCGTTCAAAAGGTGTCCATATAGTCGTTTGTAGTTATTATTTTAGCAATTTACTCTGTTATATCATCAGCCAAAGGTTATCTGGGATCATAGGCGATGGATCTCAATGCCGGCCTTTATAAGTTATTCCAGTCTACTCTGCAGTTCTGGTGTAGAGTCTACGGGAACAAGTCGATAGGTTCAAAATGACGGCGAAAGTGATTTCGGGCACCGCTGTTGCCCAGTACGGAATTTTCTTTTACCCTCTTTTTTGTTTTTATAAACTATCGACTTGGATTCTTTGAAGTGCGACGCAATGTTTATGGGACGATGTTATATATTTTGGAATTACTTTAGCTTTTCTATAAACATAATATTGAATAATTTTTACAATTGTGGTAGATGTTACGAAACAGTGTTCGCTGTTGCACGAATGGGCAGGTCCGTCAGGGTTAGTACCACGACCTCACAGAAGAAAGGCGTGAAGTTAAAGTGTTACACTTCTGTATTTCGTATGGTGAGTGAGGTAGCCGGGGCCTATCTGCAACATAGGGGTGTCTGCAACCCTACGGGCGTTGCAAATATTCGTGGGCGGCGGCTATCACTTAACATCAGGTGAACCGTCAGCTCGTTTGCCTTTTTGTCACATAAAAAAAGTGTACGTTAAAATTTATTCGGACTAACTTCACTTGTATTAAAATAGCGTCAGCCAAATCATTTAACACAGAAAAGCATAGAATAGCATTGTAACTTTGAACTCCCTGTACCCAAAGGGCTATCGAGAGCGAACTGCGTCAGGAGGTGGGGGATTTGCAAGCCAAGCTCCCGTCCTTCAAGCCGGGACTGGCCATCGTGCAGGTGGGCGGCCGCGAGGACTCCAACGTCTACATCCGCATGAAGCTGAAGGCTGCCGCGAATATCGGCATAGAGGCCGAGCACATCCGTCTGCCGAAAGACTGCACGCAGACTGAGGTATTGTTTCGATGCAAGATTCAATGGTGGTCGTTTGTGACATTTTATAATTCGATTGCATTCGTTACAAAAATAAATGCGATGAAGTAAGATTGCATCATTGTATTTTTCACCGACTTCAAAAGGAGGATGTTCTCAATTCGACTGTATTTTATTTTATGTTTGTTACCTCATAACTTTTGACTGGGTGAACGGATTTTGACGAGTCTTTTTATATTTGAAAGCTGGCGCTCCCCATTTGGTCCCATATTAATTTCATTGGTGTGGATCTTGGGCTCCGGAGATACTTAGGGAACTCCTGAAAATCAGTTATAAAATGCATACAGAGCGAGATATTTGGAGTCAGTTTTGTTTTTCGTTTGTAAAAATTGGTTATTACATTTTGAGTTTAGAAAAAAAAATATATTTAGCAAACTTATACTTAGGTTTCTTAGCTGGGCCTGTGACTATAAGTTCATAGGCCCAGAGCCCACATTGTTCAAAGTTTAGATTACCATAACCTACTATTAAAAAACTAAAACATTTTTTTGCCTAACTTTAGACGTAGGTACTTTATTATACAAATATAACTTTGTTTTTTAATGCAATTTAAAGTGTCATTTATAGATACATTTCATGTACGACAAGGAATAAAATTAAATGATATTGTTTTACTATTGTTCTTATTATATCGTTAAACGAATTATATTATTCTTATTATATTGATTTAATTTACTTTATAGCTATTTTTTTAATTAATTTTATATTAATTAATTAATTTTTTTTACTAATTTACTTTACATTTTAATATACACTATCATATTATAAATTGTTATATCCTTGGAAGAGAGGCTCTACTGCAATCTCACCGATGTTGTCCTTCAGTGGTGGTTATCACTTGACATTAGGAGAATCACAAGCTCGTTTGACTTGTCGTTAAAATACACCGGCAGTTAACTTCAGAAACTATCTGCCATTAATCATAGTTGCGTGTAATATAATATAAGCTAAGCTAAAAATGGAATGCACTTCCTTGGAGAGATGTGCACAGTGCAGATTGGAATGAGATGTCAAAGGTATATTAATAATATAAATTATATAAGATTTTATATATTCATTCATTGTTACATCATTACATAGATAGAATGGAAAACAAAAAAAAAAGGAAATCCAAATATTTTTGTTACGAAATAACGCGTATGTTTTGTAACAAAATACGCAAATGCAAAACAGTTATAGATCAGATAATCATTTAGTACGGCTAAAGTTTTAGTTTACGGGTTATTTGAAGTTATCATTGCTCTCTGAACTTATAACAATTAAATATGACGGAATAATTATTGAATAACATGTTTATCGATTTTGTCTATTAGTCGTTACGTTAGGTACTACGGATTATATTATTGACGATACGATATTTCTTGTTTTAAGTATTTGACTTCTGAGTTTTAAAATCGTCAATGCCTCATTTGGATACTGGCCATAGTGTTCGTTTCATACTATGGTTCTGGTATAGCCTCTTTAACGGAATAATTTCAGTCTCGACTGGTCTAAAGACTGTTTAGGGGATTCAGCAAAAATCACGAAATAACACAAAGTGGGTGGAGGAGTAGAAGGGCTGTAGTGATATATCATGTGTATTTGTTTTTTCATTAGACGGGCGATTTCTAAACAGAAAAGAGAAGTGTGAGCTTGATTCACCGCTGGCAGGCAGCGATTTCGCCGCCTGGCCTGCCTGCAAAGCCCCTGGACATTTTTATCACGATTCTTAATCTTCCAGAATTAAATTTGATTGTACTTACCTATTATTAAAGATATAACTGTGGGCCATGCAACAATCCTAGCCTAGGTGTTACACAAATAGGCAGGTCTGTTCAGGTAAGTATCCCGATTTAATAGAAGACCGTGGAAGTGTACTTTTAAGTTTCATCTGTAGAGTGAGGTAGCCGAGGCCCAATTTATTAAAATGCTATGCATCTGCAACCTTACGGATGTTGCAAATGTCAATGGGCAGCGGTTATCACTTAACATTAGCTGAACCGTCAGCTCGTTTGCAACCTTTCAATAATAAAAAAGAAATTGGATAATTTGTGCTAAAAAATACACGTGATTTTACTCTTAAACCTCACCAAATATCACTAGGGAGGAGAGGGATGATTATCGTAAGTTAAAGTTAAATGTGCAAATTTTCGAAAATATCATCTCTGGTCAATAATTTCGTTTGAAAGATAAATGTTTTGAATGTAGTGCGTCTAATATGCATGTGACTAATAATTTATAATAGTTATTCTCGTTATAATAAAAATAGTGTGTTTTAAATATGAACACTTTCTGTATGGAGTTTTATCTGTTTGTAGGACAAGCATGTGCAAGTTTTTTTGTTTAGACACGTGCAATATTCAGTTTCTTAAAACATGGCTGACTTAATTAATGCGTTGTTGCAGTTGCTGGAGAAGCTGACAACCCTGAACGAGTCTCCACTGGTTCATGGCATCATAGTGCAGATGCCGTTGGATTCCGACCACGAGATCGATTCGCACCTCATCACTGACGCTGTTTCCTCGCAAAAAGACGTCGATGGGTGATTACTCCTTTCATATGTTTTCTTTGATTCGCTATAACGGTTTCATTGTACCGAACTTTTCATATGGTCATATTATCTGATATATAATGTAGAGTATTGTAGAGTTTAATAGAGGAGTGTGTTGGAGATTGTTAGAGCGCTATGCAATTAAATTATGTAACCCTTAATTACCGTCAGGATACGACAACTACATACACGCTTAAGAAGTTAATTTACAACAATCTTTTCTTCCTCCTATATAAAGCATTGCTGTGCATTATCACGCTGAATGATTAAACCTACTATATTGTTGTCTCTCCCGCACGTCCTTCGCTTCTCTACTTAATAGTCGGTTGACTGGAAGAGACCACCTTGTAACTTTAGCTACTGTGCAAAAAGTTTTTATGTAAATGTACATATTGTGAGTCGCATCCAGGTTGAACACGGAAAACGAGGGTCGCGTTGCCATTGGGGACTTCTCCGGCTTCGTGCCCTGCACGCCAGCCGGCTGTGTGGAGCTGATAAAACGGACAGGCGTCACGATCGCCGGCAAGAGCGCCGTGGTGCTGGGCCGCAGCCGCATCGTGGGCACGCCGGTCGCCGAGCTCCTCAAGTGGGAGAACGCCACCGTCACCGTATGCCACTCGAAGACCCAGAACCTCAGCGAGATCGTGAGTTCATTTATATTGCATTGGGCTATAGATTTTATTCTGTTTTGCTTTTTTGAAACGTTGTCAACCGAGCATACATTTCACCCGATGTTAAGTGAATACTTCGCCCATGGACTTCTACGACTGAAGACTTGCAGATACGTTGCCAATCTTTGCAAAATTGGGCCCCAATTAACACGTTCACTGCGGTTCACCCACAATCGGCCCGACGCTGTGTCAAATTAATGTGCGCGCGAACAAAACTGGTCTTTCTCGATTGTGCGGAACAGGTTTTAAGGGAATTTTTACGAGTATGACAGTGACAAATATAGTTTTCGATTTGTGACTTAAAATGTAAAAATATAGGCAGTTTACTTCCGCGTCGGGCCATTTTCGACCTCCGCCGCATAGGACTTAAAAAAATTTATCTCAGTACGGGAGCGGGCCTATTTCGGTGGACGACCGACGGCGACCTGTTGCCTGTGCAGATGCGTACGCGTTGAGCCGTCAGTAGTGTTGTGCAGTCACGGGAGGAGGACGTGCTCGCGCTCGACACTTTCGTAGAAGTTTAATTCATTACAATGATCCGATAGGATGGAAGAGGCTGAGAGGGAAGAAGGGACCGTGAGGGAGAAAGAGCCCGAGATGGAGGAAGAGACTGCAAGGGAGGAAGGGACCGAGAGGGAGGAAGACCCCGAGAGGGAGGGAGAGACCGAAAGAGCAGAAGAATTTGAGAGGGAAGATGAGGTCGAGAGGGAAGAAGTAACTGACGATGAAAATGAACAAAAATTATGTGATGAAGAAGAAGAGGCTAATTTTGAAAGTAACGATAGTGATGAATACTGTCCCAGCAAAGTTGTCTCCAAGCTATCAGCAATAACTGACAACGACGAAGAAGATGCACAAAATGACGGTGAAGAGAGTGAATGGGAAGATATTACTGATTTTACTCTTAATTTAGAGAAATGTACCTTACATGAGAGCACTATAAATTTTTCGATAGAAAACACCACGCCTGATGGCATTTTTTCTTTGTTTTTGACAGATGAACTGATTGAAAAAATGGTAACCGAGACCAATAAATATGCTTAAGAGTATAATAGGGAAAAGAATGATAAAAACCAAATTAAAAGAAAATCTCGTTTATTAGCATGGAAACCTACAAATGCGACAGAAATGCGTAAATTTCTCGGAGTATTACTCGTAATGGGTCTAAATAAAGTGGCTCATATAAATGACTATTGGTCAAAGAAATCTATATATCGACATGAATATATTGTGTCTGTTATGACAAGAGATAGGTTTCTGTTAATATTAAAATTCTGGCATTTTAGTGATCCAGACACCAACAATACCAGCAAATTAAAAAAATTGAAGATTTAATTACAATGCTGAACAAAAGATTCCTTAGAAGTGCTTACTCCTGGAAAATACTTGGTTATAGACGAATCGATGATACCATGGTGGGGTAGACTTGGCTTTAGGCAATATATTAAAAATAAATCACATAAGTATGGTGTGAAAATATATAAATTGTGTACCCCAGAAGGGTACACATATAACTCAATTGTATATGCCGGGAAGGGTGAATAATTTTTTGATACTTTTGTGCTAAGCTTTTATTATTTTTTTATTCGGTCAAATTAATTGCATTTTTTGAATTCGGTATCTACCACGATATTTTATGGGTTTAGTGTTCCCGATATTTCGATAGTGTTATAAACACTTTGTAACGTTGTATTGATTGTAACTCGGTTACCAATAATATCGTAGTGAGAACTCGTTAAAGAAAGTTTAATCTTGATTTTGTATTTTTAATTACTATGTTTAGTGCTTATTAGATTTTAACTAAGTATCTATTTTGATATAATTTTAATAACTCGATATTTTGTTCTCTTCACTACCCCATCACTACAAAAATTACACTTAGGTGCGGTATCGGGCCTTGTCGGACCTGACATTTTCGATTGCTAATTTCTCATTTTCTGTTTGGAGGATCCAGGAGCGGGGACAATGTTTATACAAGTAATTCATGACAATTCGAAAACCATAAAAAAATAAAATATTCTATATGGATTGGCTGAGATAATAGAGCTTTAATACCCCTCAGAGTTGTCGGGTCGAAAAGCCCCGCTACGCACAGTAAGAAAGTCAAGTGGGGGCTGTTTTGGACTGCCACCGCACCAGCTGAAAGTCACTGTTTTATTTTACGCAGTTAACGTGTTAATTCACTCACAAGACGAAAGACCACTTCACGCCAATCTTCTGTGAGGATTCCTCGGATAAACCGCTGCGTGGCCATACCACAGATAAAGTTTTTTTAACCAGAAGCCCCAGATGAATGGCACGAGAGATAGTCGAAAAGTTAAATCGTAATAACACCAACTAAGCAAAAAATACAGAATAGTAAAATTAGTTGGGATGCATTGTAAAGTTTGCTCTCATCGTAAAAGTGATTATAATGCGGATCAATTTGGAAATGCAGATATCGTGATAGACATAGTGCTGGTTAAATATGGATAACAATAATAAATTTTCTATTTTAGACAAAGACCGCTGACATATTAGTGGTGGCCATTGGGAAACCTGAGATGGTGCGCGGGTCGTGGATCAAGCCTGGCGCGATCGTCATCGACTGCGGCATAAACCCAATCCCAGGTAAATACAATGATTTAAGACAGTCGTTTACGCCAAACAGACTATTTTTAGGGCCACCGATTTTTTGAATATAATATTAAGAATGTATGTGATAGTTGTGATTGTTCATGACAATATTTTATAAATAATGATTTCCATATAAAAAAAAGAAATTAATGAATAGAAAAATGAATTAATTGCCTCTAATGAACTTAAACATTCAGTTTATTTAGTTAATTTTTTGTCTATACCCAACACACAACGTCTGAGCCGATTTTTATGAATGAGGTTCTCTGAGGTAGATTAGAGATAGACTCCTGCATGCTAATAAACTGGTTTAATATAATTAACATTTTATGGCGTATCAAGTTCTAAAAGAACCTCGCCGTCTAAATAGCGGATACGGGCTATTTTTTACACACTGTGATATCGATAAAAATAATGAAATTGAAACATCAATTGAATTTTATTTTACTAGCGACCCGCCCCGGCTTCGAATGGTTGCAATCTATACATATAAATCTTCCTCTTGTTTCACTCCATCTAGTAAAAAAAAACGCATCAAGATCCGTTGCGTAATTTTAAAGATCTAAACATATATAGGGATAGACAGACAGCGGGACGACTTTGTTTTATACTATGTAGTGATGACTGCCGTTGTAGCCGATATGGTAGCAGAAAATTAATTGTATATTTATGAAATAGCTTGACTAAAGTATGTTGTTCAGATATGCAGTCCACCATTCCATCGTTAGTCTCACCTTTACCGACTGAATATAGTGAAACAAATGATAAATTCAACAAATGTTGTGTCTGGATGGTTATGTCGAATGTTTGAAACACCAGCGAACAATGCAGTTCTCTAATAACATGTCACTTTCAACAGCGGAGAAAATTCATTTGTGGTTAGCAGTTGAATTGAAATGAACGTGTTGTTTAACGTCCTGTAGTTCGATAAAGGTAGTTAAATAAGTGATAAGAACTTCGCCTTTGCATACGTCCTTTAAACTTCAGAAAAGAAGAGTGAGAAATTGCAATAAAAGTGTTACAAAGTACAAATCGAACAAAAATCTAAGAAAATAAAAAAAAAACAGTTTACACATGATTAGCATTAACTATAGTGTTTACGGTTTATTTTATTATTTTACGGTTTATTTTATATTATTATTAGTGGTAATCTCTTCAATCAAGATGAAACTTAAAATTTTATTTTTTGTAGATAAATTAATGGTTTTCGAATCTCACAGCACCGAAAGTTTTTGACTACTTATCAATTAACAAAAATCACGTTTTAAATATCGTGAGTATTATTAAATTACCAGAAGAGGTCCAAGCTAATTCCAATTCGCGATAAAGTTACAAATATAGTTTTAAAACCCTCCCAAGACCAATCGTTTCTCTGACAAGCATTATCAACGCTGCTCCTTCCGGATCGGCATTCGCAAGCTGATAAACCCACCCACCTTCGCAACTACTTGGAGAGGCTGTTTGAGCGCATTACTAGGATGGAGCTTGTATATTTATTCCAACTACGTAATATAAACTATAATATCGAGCTATTTAATTTTTGAACGAATCGCTCTTGCCCCGATCGAACAACCTTTTGGTGCTGATCAGATCTTTCGCTTAATGGAACAAATCCAAAGGCCTTGTACACACTCGAACACGAAGCACTGTTCTTCGATATTGCATGTGTTTTCGTCAAGGTCTTTCATAACAGCTTGCTTTACAAGGTAGGGAAAATAAAGTAAGGTACAAATTTGAAATATTTTTATATCATAAAGAAGTCAGTAGGAGGTCAGGAATATGCGTTTTTTTAAATATTTCATTTTAAGATATATGATGTAAATTAAATTAGTCCCTAACTACGCCATCCTAACCATCGAAAAAAAATCTAAACAATCGAATACCAAACCCACGCCTGTTCGCAGGCTAGGAATACGCTGATGCATAAGAGCATGCATAATGATGATGCATAATGATGATGCATAATGATGATGCATAATGATGATGTATAATCCATCATCTAACGACCAGCGTAGAAACGTTGTAGACCCGTGAATTATCTGTTCTTTGTATCTATTTCTTCTACTTTCTAAAAAGTTATAAAAAGTAGGTCAACTTAAAATTCGCAGATGCGTCTAAGAAGAGCAACCAGCGTCTGGTGGGCGACGTCGCTTACGAGGAGGCGCTGAAGGTTGCATCTTACGTGACTCCAGTGCCCGGTGGTGTGGGGCCCCTGACGGTGGCGATGCTCATGCGGAACACCGTGCTGGCCGCCCGCCGCCAGCTCGAGCGGCTGTTGCGGCCCAATTGGCCTCTGCAAGTCCTGAGGCTCTCGCCCCTATCGCCGCCACCCAGGTAAAAATAATCAACAAGGTTGCGTGCAAGAAATTACTTTTAGTAATAAGATCGCAAAAGGGCGGCTTAGTATCCATCATTTCTTCACAAAATTATTTGTTCTTGTTTTTTTTGTGCGATAATGAATATTCATTCATTCAACACTGGGTCAAGACGCCCTTGGTAAAAAATTGAGTTCTGATTAAGCCATTTTGGTATGCAGAAATATGAAAACCCTATAGACTTTGCCTGATGAAACAAATCAGTTAAGGAACAGGAGATGGTGTTATTATAAGCCCTTACCTCCGATACCGTTTAAAACAGTTCTTACACACCACTGTTAGAGCCCCGAAGATAAAAAATAAGTACACACTGCACACTTGCATTGTATTGTAAGCGAAGTTAAGCTACGGCTTATTAAAACTTAGTACCTAATACTTAAACAAACCTCACGCATATCTAAATAATGCTCATTGTGCAAACATTTAAAAACGTTGATTATTTTTTGGACATATCTACGTTGGAGTACCTAAAACATACAAATGTGTTAAATATAAAAAATATATAATAACACTGTTCTCCTGAATACCTATTTATAACGGAATATGCGTGTATTGACAGCGATATCGTGATAGCCGGTCGCAGAAACCGAAGCCCATCGCAAAGCTGGCTGAAGAGATCGGGCTGTACCCGAACGAGGTGTCGCAGTACGGCAGCACGAAGGCCAAGATCTCTCTCTCCGTGTTGGATAGGCTACAAGAGCAGCGCGGCGGCAAATACATCGTAGTCGCCGGGTGAGTTCCTCGGAAACGGTTCTAGTTTCAGTCTGAACCAGTCGTTCTGAAATAATATCTTAATTTCGGTTAGAGTTTGGATGAGTATTTCAGAAAATATTATATTCAGAAACAGTGCTAGTTTTATTTAAAACCATCATGATTAAATGCGAACACGATGGAATAAAGCATAAAGAAATGTACAAAATCACTGTTACATAACGTTTTCATAAAATTAAAATGTGTAGAAAATATGGAGGAAATCCTCCAGAATTGTTGTAAACGATATTAGAAATCTTATGTGTACTGTAGACGACACATGTGAGGCATACATGTGCTAAAAAAGTATTGCATAAAATGCGGGAAAACTATGTAGATAAAATACATTGAGATTTTCGTCGGTGGCAATCGGTCGTTTAGCTTAGTGGTTAGAGCATCAGGCCGCGATTTCAGTAGACGTGGTTTAGATTCCCGCAGCGGAAACCCTTTTTACCATGATCTCTAATAAAGTTTAATCGTAAATGCAGAGATCAGCACTATAAAATAATTAAATTGCATATCCTCCAATGTATGTTAGTTCAGTGTTACTGCGTCCATAGAAGCCGCAATATTGAATACTGCCGAGTTAATGAGGGTTGCGTGTGTCCAGAATCACGCCCACGCCGCTGGGCGAGGGTAAGAGCACCACGCTGCTGGGGCTGGTGCAGGCGCTGAGCGCGCACCGTGGGCGCAACGCGTTCGCGTGCATGCGCCAGCCCAGCCAGGGACCCACCTTCGGCGTCAAGGGCGGCGCCGCCGGAGGCGGATATTCCCAGGTACACAAGCGTTTGCAGGCAGTCGTGCGATTATCCTTTTGTTACTACCGGTTTATCTATTCATACAGCCGTAGGAAAGTTCTTATAGAAAGTATTCTTCGCCCAACTTCATAAAAGGAGGATTGTAAATTCGGTTGTATTTTTTATGTACGTTACCTCAGAACTAACTAACTCATGTATGATACGACAATCGATTTATTATATTATTTTTTGTGTTGGATTGGGATGAGATCCGGTGTAGTCCCATATTGATTTCATTGGTAATAAATATTAAATCAGGAGATACATCAAGGGACTCCTCAAAATCAATAGAAAAGGTATAGTGAGTGACATATTCGAAGTCAGTTTTGTCTTTTTTGTGTTAATAAAAATGTACTTCTTTTTAATTACAAAAATAGTCCGTTTGTTCATCATCGCTACAGCAATTATATCAAATATATTAATAGGTATATACAAAACAGCTTTAAGTTCAAAACGGTACGATTTTTTTTAAAGTGTGAAAGTGGCAAACGAGCTGGCGGTTCACCTGATGTTAAGTGATAACCGCCTGACCATGGACATTTGCAACACCCCTAGGGTTGCAGATGCGTTGTCTTAATAATGTGGGCCCCGGCTGCCTCACTCACCAGACGAAACGCAGAAGTGCAACATTTCTACTTTACGCCGGTCTTCTGTGAGGTCGTGGTACTAACCCGGACCGACCTGCCCATTCGTGCAACAGCGAACACTTGCGTGGCCCTACCATCGTAAACGATGCTTGCATATTTGGAATATCAGACACGGGTACCATTCAAATACAGGTTATTCCTATGGAGGACTTCAATCTCCACCTGACCGGAGACATCCACGCGGTGACAGCCGCTAACAACTTGCTCGCGGCGCAAATGGACGCCCGGATCTTCCACGAGCTAACCCAAAAGGACGGACCGCTTTACGATCGGCTGGTGCCCAAGATCAAGGGCGTCAGGAAGTTCTCCCCCATCCAGCTGAGGAGACTGCAGAGGTTGGGCATCGACAAGACAGATCCAGACTCCTTGACCGACGAGGAGAGGAGCAAGTTTGCGAGACTCGACATAGACACGAATAAAATAATGTGGAGAAGAGGTGAGAACATATTTTTTTTAATTTGTTCTTTCTCTTCGATATTTAAGTTAGATTGGGTAAATTAATTGTCGTATCCACTTCTTGCAAAACGGAGAACGCTTTTAACTTTTCTCTAACTATAAAATGTTAATTTTTGAAGCCACGTTACAGTATTCGCTGTTACACGAATAGGCAGGTCTGTCCGGGGAAGTACCATGACCTCACAGAAAACCGGCGTGTAATAGATACTTGTGCGCTTCGTCTGGTCAGTGAGGTAGCTGAGGCTCACTTTATTACAAGTTAATAACGCACCTGCAACCCTACCGCTGTTGCAGGTGTCCATGGGCGGCGTTTAACACTTAGCATCAATTGAACCACCAGCTCGTTCGCCATCTTCTCACTTAAAACAAAAACCATACATTTTCTAATAAATTAATTGAAACGAATGTATGTCATTTACTCGTATTTGATGTTATTATTTATTATTTAACAACTCTGAGCCTGTGAGTGAATCTCTTTAAAATAATTCTTAACGTTTTCTTCAAATTCCAGTGGTGGACCTGAACGACAGATACTTGAGGAAGATCACTATCGGCCAGTCGCCGACCGAGAAGGGATTTTCGCGTGAGACTGCCTTCGACATTTCCGTCGCGTCGGAGATCATGGCCATACTGGCGCTGGGCACCAGCGTCGAGGACATAAAGGAGCGACTCGCCAACATGGTCGTCGCGCTGGACAAGAGCGGCAATCCAGTTACCGCTGACGACCTGGTAAATAAAACCACCGCTGGCTAAGCATTGTTGTATTTCTCCAAGCGAGCTGACGTTAAGTGAATACCGCCGCTCATGGTCTTCTCTAAAGCCTCAGGACTTTTTAGATGCGTTGGCAATTTTTGAAAGAGTGGGCCTCTGTCACCTTATTCACCAGACGAAACGCGTGAAAAATGGAAGTTTTATACTTTCATAAAACTTCCATTTCACGCCGGTCGTGGTACTGCCTCGGACGAGCCTGCCGAATCGTGCCCAACTGCGGTAGGACCACCACAATTGTATCCTGGTTGTATCTATTTTTAGTTGATGTCCTTTCATAGTTATAATTTAAAAAAATTGTATCACGTTTTTAAGGCTGTGGCCTTATTTTCTTTCGTTTTTTTTGTGTAAAACTTTATATGATATGGACATATTTTGCTCTGGTTTAGAGGCATGAAATATTTTCTTATTAACTGCCGCTCTCCTGAAATGTAAACTAATATATTCAATCATTAACTGCAGTCTCTGAATGATGCCTATTACATTTCTTAATTAACAACCTACAAACACCATTAAACAGGGCGTTACTGGTGCACTGATGGTGCTACTGCGGGACTCGCTGGAGCCGACGCTCATGCAGACGTTGGAAGGCACACCGGTGCTGGTGCACACTGGACCCTTCGCCAACATCGCCCACGGCTGCTCCTCCATTCTAGCCGACAAGATCGCCATGAAGCTCGCACGGGAGAGCGGTTTCGTGGCAACGGAGGCCGGCTTCGGATCTGATATCGGTACGTATCTTCATAGTAAAAATATGTTACTAGTCCCAGCAGTTTGTGAAGACTTGTTAAATTATCTTGGAAAGTGGTTTTAAAAGCATCGTTTTGCATTAATCTTTGAGTAGGTACTGCTTTTATACTCTTAAAGGTTTCCTTCGAGGCACTTGCGTAGAACCTCGATTTCTGTGAAGGACTTACGTAAGGCCTTGTAAAACCACACTTGGATTTTTAGTGGCTGTCATTAAACAGCTTATGCTGCATGGATGGATCGGTTTGACTGAGGGAGCTCTACGAATAAGAACCGCAAAGAAGAATATTACATAAATAATTCTATCATTTATAATTTCGCCTATAGAGTACTGTATCCGTCCTTCGCCTTTGGAATATCTTACAAACTTTTCCGATGCTTGTAACGTCCATGGGTAGTTGTAATCGGTTAGCATAAGAAGGACTGCTTGTTCATTCACCAACTTCTATTGTGAAAAAGCTTTTTCTTCACATACACCCTGTATTTTATCATGGTAGGCATGGAGAAGTTCTTCGATATTAAGTGCCGTGCCAGCGGCGATTTACCCCATTGCGCGGTGATCGTTGGAACTGTGCGCGCCCTGAAGATGCACGGTGGTGGCCCACCGGTCAGCCCCGGCCTGCCGCTGCACGACGTCTACGTTCAGGTACGGACAAATGATACCTGCATCACCTTTACTGCACCTAAAACATCATCCGATGGCAGCGAAGCCCTGCAAAGTTTATGAGTAAAAAGAAAACCTCAAGTTACCTACTTACACGTACACCCCTTCTTCCCCATTAATATTATAAATGTTAATGTAAGTTTGTTTATTGGGCTTTCGCGCAATAACTGTTCGACTGATTATCATGAAGCTTTGTACACATATTCTTAAATGTATTAAAATTACTTAGCACTCTTTTTAATAAAAAAATATTTAAAACTAAGATACATATTTACTATATTTAAGGGCTTCAACGCGAGCGAAGCCGCGGGTAAAAGTTAGTCAGTAATAAATGGTTCCGTCATCTCGTACAAACACGATAAATTAATTGGCGACTGCTGGTGATGGTTGTGTACAAAACGTGTGTCTCAGTCATGAAAGTTTTTTTTTATAAAATTGGTCTTTTTATAAAAAAAAACTTTCACGTTTAAATAATAATATATAAGAAAAAGCTAGCCTTGTGAATTTCGGTTTTCCAGTAGTCGTTTTGTTTTTATAACGTCGCTAAATTATTTTTATATCCACAGGAAAATCTAGAGCTGCTTTCAAAGGGTTTGTGCAATCTGGGCAAGCATATTAGCAACGGAAACAAATTCGGCGTACCGGTCGTTGTAGCTATCAATCGACACGGGTAAGCACTTTTGATATTATTATTTATTATTTTTAAAAATAAAAAATGCAATTACCATAATTATTAAGGATTACAAAAGGGGAACTTAAGGTTTGGGCCTTGGAGATAAATTGTGGTAAGTGCAATAAAACGATTAAATTGTGAATAATTATTATGTTATATATCAATTGAAATGAAAACTAAGTTATTTTGAAGAAGTTAATTTGTCTTACAAAATAGTCAAGTGACAAAGTCAAGTCAAAGTCAAATATCTTTATTCAATATAGAAGCATTCACTTACTTATTGATAGTCAAAAAACTCTACCACCGGTTCGGAAGGTAAGCCACTGACCTGAGAAGAACCGGCGTAAGATTGAAAACTCAGCGGGACATTATTTTTTTTTACTTGCCAAAAAAATTACAAATATGTGTACAATTATTATGTTAACTCCTATTAAACTCCACTTGAAAGAGCCTGGAGCGATCAATTCATTTACAGAGTGTGTTATCATTCATATAATCACTAATACTATAATAGCCATTAACACACAAACGTTCCTTTACAAGTTTTTTGAATTTTAAAACTATGTTTATTTTGAAAAAATACGGCTTTGTTTTTTTTTTTGATGTTTCTTAAGTTTAACATCACTTCTTCCGACGTTTATTTTGGGTGTACGGCAAGGCTACACCCAAAAAAGGCTACCACCGCCTGTTACGTTTGGCACTTAGGTGTAACGTTAACGTTTCCAGCTATCTCCGCATATGGTATTGGGTTTAAGTCATGATTATGTATCTTGCGCATTTGAACAGGTCGACATGTGTCGTTTGGCTTATATTGTACGGACGGACACTCCATTTGCCCACAGAAACGACACTCAAGCGGAACTGAACCTGGTGAAGCTGTTTGCCGAGCGGAACGGTGCGTTCAAAGCGGTGATCTGCGACCACTGGGCGAAGGGGGGCGCTGGCGCCCTGGAATTGGCGGACGCCGTCATAGAGGCCTGCGAAAGGGACTCCCACTTTAAATTCCTCTACCCCCTCGACCTCTCCATCCCGGAGAAGATTCTCCTGATCGCCAAGGAGATGTACGGCGCCGGCCAAGTGGAGTACACAGACGAGGTGCTGCAGAAGATCAAGGTGTTCACGGAAAAGGTGGGCGGAGAGGCATCAGTTGTTACCGCTGATTTACTTTCTAAGATCTTTGTCAACAATGAACAAATGGAACTAGTGGTTCCTTAAAAACAAATTGTATGCGTACGTTCGTTGTATGCGGTTGATAAATTGACATCATTCTACAACAACACCCTAATAAACTCAGACTACAGAGGAGGCTTTTGCCCATTAGTGGGACATTATACTTCCCCTTCCGCCGGTTTTCTGTGAGGTCGTGTTACTTACCGGGACGAGCGTGCCCATTCGTGCAACAGCCGACGCTGCTACGTGGCACTACCAGAGTTCAAACATATATAGGCTGTTAATATACTATTCTATTGCTGCATGACTGTAGGGAGTAACCACGGCCTTACAGAAAACTGGGGTACAGTAGAAGTACTCGTATATACATTGGCAATTCGTCTGTCGTTAACTTTGTTATCATTACGCTTTTCTAAAACAGCCTGTATACGAACAGGGCTACGACAAGTTGCCGATCTGCATGGCGAAGACCTCAAACTCCTTAACCGGCGACCCGGCCGTGAAGGGCGCGCCCACTGGCTTCAGTTTACGCGTCAGCGACATATTCGTGTCTGTGGGCGCCGGTTTCGTGGTGCCGATGTGCGGCGAGATCAGCAAGATGCCGGGCCTGCCCACTCGGCCCAGCATCTACGACATAGACCTCAACACCACCACCATGGAGATCGAGGGTCTCTTCTAGGCCTCAATCACTGGCTTGTAGTCTCGTACGTATGAGGCTTCGTGTTGTTTTTATAGTTCACATGTATTTTGTAAACAGTTGAGGGCTAAACCCTGTTTTAATTATTTTTATATGAAGTAAAGGTATCTCGTTCCTTGTGAAATTATATACTACTTAATATCGTGTGATGGGAGTAATAAATGATTACTTTTTGTTCAATATGTGGTTTTATTATTATAATTTATAATTGTACAACATTTTTTTATTTCTTTGCGTAGTATTGAATATTAAACCCACTTATAACCTCGAAATCCACCATTTGCTTTGGTAGCTTTTTATGAGAAAAATATGTCAACACTTAACCATACAAATAAAAATAACCAGAACTTGTGCGATTAATTTCACATAAAATAGGATCAAAGTCTGCCAAATTGTTGATTAGTTAATTTGCTACTGTGCAAATAATGTAGCATAGGAGTAAATTTTATATAGTATATTTTTTGGAATTTTACTAAACCATGCTTTTGTAAATCATTCATAAATAAAGTAATTCAGATGATATGAGTTGTATATTAACTTTAACTGTAGGCTGGACTTTATAATTCATATTTTTACTACGCATTTGTTATACCAGCGTATAAACCGTTATCATATCGGAATGGTTGTTTGACATATATTAATTACTTCATTACACTTTCCTTATGAATGTTACAGGTTCCAAAACGTGCTGTGATTTCAATTGTAATTATGTTTCACTCAAAACAACTCAAAATTTGCCAACACTAGTTCTTAATCTCACTAGAAGAAACAATAGTATTTTATTAACCTAATTGAGAGAAAAACAATAAACCGAGACCAATGCATTATATACAGTATGTCCTTAATTAACCGTTCAAAAGTGAAGTTTACATATTATATAAAAAAACGGAACCTTTATAAACAATTGAGCTTATAACTAGTGGTCGGGCGCTTCGTCTATCTCGTTCACGATGTCGGTCGGCGTGAAGGAGGGCTTATCGCTGGCAGCGGTGGCAGTGGTGGCAGCGTCCTCGTCGTCGCTGTCGGCGCCGGGATGGGCAGCCAGCAGTTGCCCGGGCTCCCTGGGCTGGGCTGCCGATTTGCTGCCAGGCGCACTCCACACCCCGCTCTCCTGTGATAATATCGAACAATGACAAAATTTTTCTTTTTGCTTTTGGCGATTGATGTGCGTTTTCGGCCCGGTGACTATACAAAGCTTCATCTGGCGTAAAGCTGGTGCACGCTAAACTTCCACCATCTAAACGGAGACTCCGCATGTCCACATGCACCACACACATGTCGACACACACACACAAAAGAGCGCGCGCGCGCGCGCGTCGTCGTGCGTCCACACATGTATGGCGACGCATGTTGCCATGCGTCGCCATACATGCGCACATGTGAATATGTGTGTATTAAGCGCTGCAATGAATATTGCAATGAATATAATGCAGTGAATTTTTAACTATTTGGGTGGTGAAGTATGAGGAAGCGGAGGAGGGTTAACGCCGCTTAGCGGCGCGCAGCGCGCGAGTTTCGTCTACGCGCCGCTAGACCATTCATTACCTCGTGTGTAGTGAAGGGCCGTAGGACACTATCGATAGTATCATGGAAGACTGTTGAAAATGTACACAGATGGTCCCTATAATATCTTTTATAGACCATGATTATATTTTACTCTTATATTATTATAGGAATAGTAATAAACAAACAAATATAAAGTTTGAGAAAGCAATCAACAATTTTAGAAAAGCTACCTATTAATTATTTTAAATTATCAGGAAACGGATTAAAATTGATTAAAAATAAATGTTAAGGTCAAATAAATTAATAAAGGCAAATGACATTTCTTACAACAAAGCAATAAATAAACGAATAATTATTTATTTTGATTTAAAGTAAAATTTTCTCATAAAAATTTTAAGCAATTTCATAGTCTCCTCGGCAGAAATTACGAATACTTTTTTGTTACATATTTTCTTAAACTTTATATCTTTAATTTATCCCTTAAATGTGAAAGACTTACTACGTTATATTAATTCTTCAATGAAATTATAATAAATTTACCTCCCAATAAACTTCCATTCCACATTTTTTATTCCTAAATTTCGGAAGAAAATTCCTAAGTTGGCATCCTTGCCTTTACACTGTTTGTATAGGACTGATAAACTTATCAATGACAAGATAAGATATTGAAAAAATTACGCTTTAGTTGTTAATTCATACAAATAATTAAAAATACGAAATATGTAAATATATATTTTTTAGTTTCGTGTTTTCGAAAGATCTAATAAAATTATAACCCTCAATAATAAATAAATACAGAACATATTTCGTAAAGGTGAGCGGAAGACGAGCGGCATAGGTCCATCTAGCAAGGCGCCTCAGCGCTCTCTGTTCAACGTGTGGAGTTGGAAGAGAGCCGAAACAACGCCGCGGTGGCGCGATGTTTCGCCCATCGCGTTCGAATTAATTTTAATGAATTAAATTAATATTTAGAAATATCTTACATCAATCAAAAAATTAAAACAACAATCCTTTTTATTAATATATTCTACACCACTGATATTAATTGGGTTGAATGGTTTTGAATTTCTCTTTTAGAGGTAGTTTCATGATATTTTTCTATCGAGAAAATATATCGAGAATATGTGTTGGAAACAATGTTCCCTTGGAATGTACGATTATGATACAAGATTAACATATATTTTTTTTGCTGCTATAAAATGTGTAGATTTTGCTAAAAAATCTTTTGAAAAACCTATTTTTACTGCATACAGCGCCTTAACAAAAAAAGATCGAACCGCGACATCGACTGTGAGAATCTGGAACTTTGTACGGTTGCTCGCTCACCTGGCGTCCGCCGTGCCCGGTCCTGACGATGTCCAGGTACATGTCGTACACGTAGCGCGCCATGTGCGGCATGTCGTCCACGACTAGCGTCCGCTCGGGCGGCACCGGCGCGCCGGCTGAACGCTGCGCGGGGAACCGCTCCCCCACCACCAGCTCCAGCTGCAGGGGCCGCTCCACCAGCTGCGCGAAGGTCAAGGTCAAACGGATCAAGCGGCCGCGGCCACTTTAGCAACTTTCTTAGGAACCACAAAAGAATGAAAAAAGAATCTCTTGGAATCATACAGTGGAATATTATTCATGCCCCTGCCCGTACCCCACCTAGTTGTATTAGGAAATTTTTTAAACGACACGTAAAAAGAAATGTATGTGAGTACTAATGTACGCACGAAAAAAGGTATACTTCTAAAGTGTAACAAAACAAAAATGACAAAAAATTTCAACTTCTTTGTGCCAGTGGTCTTTGTTTATGAAAAAGATAACGCTTTAATTAACTTCGCCCGCGAAACGTCCTCATCGACCCGGTCGAGGAAGGGGACTTAGATACGCCGGACTCACCGCCGGGGGTCCCGCCGGATAACACTACACCCACAGCTAGTGTAACAACAAACACAATAGTTCGCCCTCGCCTCCGAGCACGGCGAGACCAACACAATGCGTACACAAGGTACACCCGCGTTCCAGGGCGGTTCTCACCGCCCCCAGCCACCGATTAGCTAAAAACACAGTCGACGGCCATCGGGGTCTCGGTCCGCACCGCAACTTCGATGGCCCTTAGATGACATGTCGTAGTTAAACGCACGCATGAGCACATGCGCGGCCCTACCCACATCGGAGGGTCCAAACCCGTGGGTTCTGGCTAGCCCACCGGTTCTGCGTCAGATGAAGCTTTAATAGTCTCGGGACTGAAAGTAAAAACATCAGTTAATACAAGATACAAGCTTTAATTAAATAATTTGGAATTATAGGTAAATGTCAATTAATGCAAATAGCCATGGTAATACCGTGAGGTTGGTCGCATGTCAACCAACTTCACCGCTTTACGCCTATCGGTGGGCGCGCGCATTGCAAACATTTTACGCCCATGATTTTTCCAAACGCGCCTAAAGAATTATAATTAAAAAAAAAAAAAAGACACAAAAACCGCGTCGTCCCAAAGCCCTACTAGGGTGCACCCACCTGGTTGAAGGTGGGCTGCAGCTCGAAGCAGTTGCGGAAGAGGTCGGCGCGCGCGAACACGTACAGCCCAAGGCGGGCGCGCGACGCGGCCACGACGAGCCGGCGCAGGTCGCGCACGTGGCCTACGGCGCGCGTCCTCACCAGCGACACGAGCGCCACGTCGTTCTGCTGGCCCTGGTACTTGTCCACCGTCGTCACCTGGCGCGCACGCGCTAGCGGGTTAGTTCGTCAGCGAGAGCCGTGATAGTTTTTTTTGTGAGATGGTGGCAAACGGAGTAAGTAGGGCTTTCACTGAAATCGACTCGTTAAAGATCCTTAGAAAAAAATAGATATGAAATCGTAAGACTGCGATTGTTGATTACTCTTAGTACATTTTTCGAAGCATAATCCTTTCTTAAATTATTTCCATGGTCTACCGGAAAAATACAACTGGAGTTTTATACGAAAGGTCACTATTAATTCTGCTGATTCTTATCTACAAGTGTCTGCAGTGAGCTACTACCTATACGTTAGGAGTCAAGGTAAAACGTACCTTATGCGGTTTGCCTATGAGCGGATTTCCCGCGCACCGCTTGTCGACGACGTCGCGTATGAGATGCTTCTGTCCGTTGTACGTGGTGAGTATCGAGATCCGCTCAGCCGGCCAACCCACCAGGCGCATATACATGAACACGGCAACCACGTACTCCGCTTCGGCTAGATTCTGGTGAATACAATTGCTGTGCTGACATTCTCTCACGGCGGGAACGGGCCAAGAAATCAAGAAGTAACAGTTGATATCTTTGTGCGTTTATTTTCGGAGGGCCAAAATGCAACTCATTTGCTGATCATTGCCTGGTGGTCTACCACGCCAGTGGCTCCATATCAATTGTTATAGATAGTATCTAATAGATATCTATTTAAAAAGTTATTTCTAAAAGTATTATAATAATATATTTTTTATTATAAGAATTCGTTTTTATAACATAATAATCTGTTTTTGGTTGTAACTCTATTGTGAAGTCTTTGAAAATTATTTGGATATATGATCTAGTTAACTCGCAGTGCTAAGTATACGTTGCAAGATGCGAAATACACCCGTACTTCTTATACCGTGATATCCTTTACTATTGGCGATGGTAGTGGTGCTTGTTTCCGTCCTTCACAGTTCCCTCAAATGAAAAACCTGAGCACCATTACTCATATGAGCACCATTAATAGCCTTATACATAGGCCGTAATATTCTTGATTGTTCGGGCGCTCGCTTATAATTTAAAATACCCGAGCTACCCGAGTTGAAATCTCGGCACGCACCTGACAGAATGCTGAGCGTTAGCATTCGACATCATTGTATACGCACCTGATAGAAGTACGGGCTGGGCTCAGTCTCGCCCGCTCCGTTGAAGTCGCCCACGTCGATCAGCTGGAAGTCGTACAGAAGGCCTGCATTTGCCGCTCTGTACTCGGGGAGCCGCAACACGTGGCCGAGATCGCCCAAGGCGCGGTACCGCCACCGGTACAGGTTGCAGATGCTGTGACAATACGTGTATTAGGTTTAAGACATTTATTTTCTCAAAATATTTACACCAAATCACTTACAGAGAAAATACATATACTATATTAGGTGCACCAAAAAATTTCCGAATTGGCGAAGCTAGTGGACTAATTATAATAAAAAGTGATGAAATATAAGGTAGTTACAAAAGAAATACATAAGAATTTTTACAAAGTGTGTGGTACATTCTAACTAAGCGGTAATTACCTATATTCGGAATACAAAAGGTGTTTACTTAGGTCTATAACATAGTTTAAGATTCAGCTTTTTTTACCCGACTGCGCCAGAAGGAGGGTTATTTTTATTCGAAAGTATGTATGTGTGTATGTATAATCGTGAGTATGTATGTAGAACTGCTAGAATGCCTGAATGCTCGATGGATTTTAACCTGTTAATAAAGTGTGCCCCGGCTACCTCGCTCAGCAGACGAAACACAGAAGTATAACACTTCCACTTAACGCCGGTCTTCGGTGAGGTCGAGGTACTTACCCAGACGTACCAGCCTATTCGTGCAACACTTGTGTGAACCTACCGCCGTATTTAGCATCTGATCAAAAGATCAAGAATATCCGATCTTAAAAATTTGTAGAAGTATGGTCCAAAAGTCAGACATTCCTTCCCCTCTGTTTCAGTCAATGTAAAAATGTAAAAGCATACATAAGCGACGCTGTAGCTCAGTGGCCGCGCGGCCTTTTTTACCATCATTTTGACAACTCAAATAACATTCGAAAAGGCGTTTGAAAGCTGATTAGTTGACTTCTACAATGATCAGTGTTTCAGAAACCGGGCGTTAATGTTTACAATGTTTTAATCGTTGCTAATGTGATCACGTACGCTACCATATAAAAATACAAGGTCGTCTGACGATAAAATCATTCAGATAATAAAACCGGCCTCGCCAGTCGGTCTCACGCACGAAGGGTTCCGTATCATTCTATAAAAAACGGCAAAATATCATGTCTGTCGTATGGGACCCTACTTAAATATATTTCTAATCTGTTTTTTACTGTTTGTTGTTATAGCGGAATCTGTGAAAATTTAAACTGTCTAACTATCACGTTTCATTAGATATAGCCTGGTGACAGACGGACAGAATGACAGACAGACAGACAGGACAGACGAAGTCTTAGTAATGAGGTACCATTTTACCCTTTAGGTAAGGAACCCTAAAAAAAGATGCAACTTTAAATTATTATTGTTTGTAACGAAGTATGTCAACGTCTTATTGTTTGTAACGAAGTATGTCAACGTCTGGTCGTCCAAAAATGTAAAGGGAGGGATCAATCCAATTTTACTCTACTACATAAGTTATGACGAAAATATTTGCAAAATACATAGCACTATTGCTCTACCACAAACGTTGAAATCCACCGCGTCGGTAACGAGTCATACGGATCGGGATCTATTTGGGGATCAATCGAGAATATACTAGTTAAACACAAACGCCACAGAGCCGGTACAACCTAGCCACTTCAAAGAATGATTAGCCTTGCAGTTATTTACATATACGTGATACAGCTAGCTAATGGACGCGAAGCTAAGAATTCGGGAATAACAATAGCCGTTTTTTTTTAATATTATTAATATTTTGCTCGCGTGGTAGCACCAGTTTTATTTTAACGTTGTCTGTATGTGAAGAGCCGTGTTTGTTATCGACATAAGAAACGCATATTTCATCTATCGATAGTCCTTTTTTTAAATCTACCACTGTTTCGTAATGTTTTTGGGCGCCTACAAATTATAATTGAATTAGAAGCGCTTATTGCTCGACGGCGGAGGCAAGCGTCTTGAGAAAGCATGATATATTATAAAAATTTGATAAAAATATTTCGAAGATTATTTAAGTACCAATCGGAAGTTGGGTCGCTTTTGCCCAGCATTGAGATTTAGAATATGAACGCTGTTATTTACGACAAACGACTACTTTTGATAATTGACAGTTAATATTTGGTATACGTTATACACAAAACATACGTGGAAGTTAGTATAAAAAATTGTGTAAGGTATAAAAATTCGTTATCGGCATAAGAAACACATATTTTATCTATCGATAGTCCTATTTTTAAATCTACCACTGTTTCGCAATGTTTTTCTAGCGCCCAGGTGTTTATATATCAATAACATGCATTTATTTACAAAAAAGAAGTATGTTTAAGTATATTTAGCAGTTCTGTAACTCAGAGGCATACAATTTAACTCCACATTTTTCGAAATTATTTATCTTACACCATTAAAATCGCAAGAAGAAACTGTACACAATTGTATAAAGCATATATAAGTCCTGCGACGCCTAATTAATAAAATAAACAATCGTTTTGGACATCATAATTCGGACTGCACTGCTTTTTGATTCAAGGATTAACTCACGCATTTTTGCCTCTCTTGTAAAGTTTGTGTTTTGTCACATAATGCTGTTTACTTATCGGGTAAAGAGTTATCTTGTACCCACAGTACAGGCGTAGTTCACTTTGGGACTAGGGAGCGTTGTATAAAAGTGTGTCCTGTCCTGTCCTGTCCTGTCCTGTCCTGTCTCGAAATGTATCGTTTCGTGTTCACACTTACGATGGCCTGGCTCGACCCTGGGCGTCGAGCTCGACGTAGGGCACCCCCAGCCTGACCATCCGCGTGAACAGGCTCTGCTCCATGTTGCAGTACTTCTGGAAGGCCATGTTCTTCACCACGGGCGGCAGCTGGTGGTGGTCGCCGATCATGATCCAGCGCTTCAGCCGCGAGCGGCCGTCTTGCGGGTTTTGCAGCAGCAGCGGAATGAACGTCTCGATCTCGAGGATCTGGGCGGACTCCTCCATCAGGATGTTGTCGTACTTGAAACCTGCACATTTATGACAACATTCGACGACTCCGCGGCGCAGTTGCTTACGTATTAGCATCGGCGCCGGTGGTCGTGGGTTCGAAACCAACACGGGATAACTTGCTTTCAAAAAATTTTTTTGACTCTATTTAATCGTCTACTATCGTTTTAAGTTAATAAGGGTCCTCGTTTATTGATAAAAATGTTATTTTCTACGGTTAAATAAAACTATTTTAGAGATTTTATAAAATCCGTAAAATATTTTTATTTTGCCATTTATAGTTTTCGCGTGAATGCAATAAATCATTATTAGTATTTTCTAAATTCACATTATTAGTGTACAGCAAGATGTCGATCCGTGATAAATCGGCGTACAACTTCAAAACAACACTATATGGAAGCATTACATTACGCACAACGATCCCCTTTTAGAAGCAAAATTATAATTATTTAGTTGTATGGTATACATATTAATGGCAGACTAAAGGTTAAAGAGCGATCGTAATTCAATTCGCGTTGATTGATTTATCGATTCGGTTAAAGTTCTTGTATGCGGGTATTTTGTGTGTGGCAATGTTCTAATATTCGGAGATGGTGGCAGCTCGAATACATTGTGAATGAAAAAAATTGGCATTAATTCGCAATAGAGACTTCTTTCTTCCGTGATTAATCTTGTGAGTTCCTTTCCGGGTTTTCTCTGGACAGGTCTAGTTTAGTGAACCGGTTGCAGTTTTTTGACGTTCAAAACAATACTGACATTGAAGAAATAAATTTTGATTTTGTGTTTGAGGAACCGGTACGAAGTAGGAAATTAAGACCAGAATATTCATGTCAAAGAACTGTGCACTCCGTTGCAGTTTTTGTAGTGAAGTCGACGCTAACATCCGGTTTCTGAAACACTGATAATCGTAGAAGTTAACTAATCCGCTGTCAAATTGCTTTTCAAATGTCATTTGAGTTGACAAAAGGATGGTTTAATTCTTTGAATTGATCATTCTGATCATTAAGAAGATCTGAGTTCTGAGTTTTAAAAGCCATTTGACAGCTGAATAGTTAACTTCTACGATGATAAGTGTTTCAGAAACCGGGCGTAAGTCACACATGAATTTCACACAACGATATAAAATATGAAATTGTCGATGTCGTTCAACAATAAAACCTTTTCGGAAACCATAAATGACTAACAAAAGTTTGCATTGAGTCGTTTGACTATCGATGGGAGTACCAAAAGTGGGCGCTGGCCAATCGCGTGCCGAACACTCACCCATCTGGACCAGCTCGGAGCGTTTGAGGGCCGCGTGGGTGCAGGTCATCGCGATGATTTTGGCCTCCTTCACCAGCAGGTACTTGGAGCGGTCCAGGCCCGAGCGGAGCAGCTCGAAGGCGCGGAACTCCTCCAGCTCCTCGAATATGTGATCTATGTACCTGTGAATAGGGTCGAATGTCGTTCTTTCAGTCGATTTATTATTCGATTGAGCTTCAATTGGCACGTTCCACGCGCCGATGATCGTTAAAATTCATCGACCGTTCACTATACCAGTTCGTAGAAGAACCGAAAATATTGTTCGAGCGTGTATTATTTATTCCTTTTTATATATCAAGTAGCAATTCAATTAGTTTAAGTAACAATTGACAATTCAATTCATTGAAGCCAATAGTCGGGGGACAATCAAGCGAATGGCTAGCCATACGCCACATGGGTATGGTGGTTGACGTATTGTTACAAATAATACGTAAATTTTTATTAATAAATAGCAAAACTGATTTCAAATATCCCACTCGCTACACATACACATTTGCATTCACTACAATAAACCGAAAACATCATATATAAGACGGGAATTCCATATACATGTCTTCTTAGTTCTTAACACACTTGCAAAGAGACGGTTTTCAAGCAAACAATGTCAAAAACAGATGTCGGCCGCTATTACATTTATGACGTTATATTCTTACTGCCCTGGATCTTTTGTGTATTATGAAACCAGGTGGGAATTTTATGGATTCTAGTGTATAATTAGTCATTCTACCTTCTTTTTCCTGCCATCATCCCACTCAGGTTGGGGTGCAGTCAATTATGTTATTAATGGTATTAGCTGTGGCTTTTTAAACCCCCCGCCGCCTCGCTTACGTCAACGTTCCTTATGAAGACGCATGAGGAGTAAGTAAAAACAAATTTATTACTTCTTAGTAACAATGATCTAGTTTTTAAGTCGGAGTCTCTTTTAGAGTTAGTTTAATAAATACATGTACTAGCACGCTTCGTTGGTACACAACAGAGTTATTATAGAAATAAATAATAATTTTAATAAGCTGGATCAAACATTGACCTTTGACGACGTCATAGTGTCTCCTTAGTTTTTGGGCCAGATATCGAAAAGTAATATTTAAAAAAAAAAAAAAAATACGCAGTTGAAAACACGTTAACTGTTTATATGTGATGTACTGTTATCTTGCTTCGTACACATGATATGCGTATTGAGCGGTTGATTGTTGGTTATACCTATAGCAGCTCAGCGCGATTTCCATGTCGTCTTCGTAGGACTTCCCTGGGAACAGGGGCTTGGGGGCGTCCTCGAAGAACTCGTGGAACGGGAACTCCTTGCCGATCGTCTCCACCGACTTCACCTGGAACAACGAACAGTGCAAATGCACCAAATCTCTTGAAGGTAATGGGCAAATGGCGGGTTTTAACCGAGCCGCCATCGAAAGAGATCCGTCAAGTAACCAGATAAATGTGATTAAGTGCGCAACGTAACATTCCAGACTTTTTATCGTTTATGATATACAGAAGTGGGCAAACGATTTGGTGGTTCGACCATGAGCATATACAACACCTGAGAGGTTGCAGATGCATTGCCACTCGAATACCTAAGTCATCAGACGAAACGCAGAAGTACAATCACTTCCAATTCAAGCCTGTCTTCTGTAAGGCCGTTGCTGCTGGGGAAGTCCCAGCAGAAACGGGCCCTACCATAGTAACTAAAATAAACCACAGTAAAATATACCACGGTAACTAAAATAATCTGTAACCCGATTATGTTTTAAAAACCTCTGTTATATTGTAACAGCTACTAAGTAAATGATTTAAACAAAATATTAAAACTTGTGTCATATTTACGTTTTCAGCCACGTATGACTCGCGTTCTTGTTTATATTTATAATAAGACATTCCTATATTAACAAAATATATTGTATTTGGAACTTAACCTAGTGACGAAGGTGAGAGAAGGTTAAAGCACGCCAGGCCGGGATAACCCAACACACACGGGTGGTTGCTGTTTGTTTGTTCTACAGTTTTGTTTACACAAACTAAAACCTGCGAATAGATTATATTTTAAGAATTGGAATTTCCCGTTAAACATTTTTACGGAAAAATTGGCGAATGGGCAGCGAGCCAAACCCATAAACTATATACGTTCGGTGAGTTTATCCCGGCCTGTTGTTTAGTAGTTAACAAAAACACACACACTCAATATAAACACGATACAAATTTAACTCCACAATTACAATGTCCATAATAATAATTATCAGGTGCGCATCGAAATAAAGATTCACCCATAAACATGATAAACAAATATCGGTTGAACAAACATTTTATAAGTCCAAATTTCTTTAAATTGAGTAAAGGCTATTGTAAGCTCTTATTGTACGTCAAACATCTACCACAGGTTTACTAAATTAAATCTACTGCCAGTTCACTAAATAGACCTGTCCAGAAGAGAAACCGCTAGAGACTCTGCACTCTTGATATCTCATTTATTTTTATTTTTTTTAATTTTCCCGAAACTATTATAGTATAAATTCTGCAGCAGCCCGGGGACTTGCAAGTGCAGCGTAATAGTTATTTCCACACATCCTTGTCCTCAATGTATTCTTCGAATTTATAATAGAACCTTTCCATTTAGGTAGCTATTAGAAGCAATAAGATTCCGAATGACTATTCTTCTTTGTTGTTCCTATTCGCAAAGCTTACATCATATTTATGGGTTGCTTTTTATAACGGCTGGCGCTAAGTGTATGTGGGGATTCCGCCATTATGAGATCACGGACTCAAAATCTAATTTATGGCACTCCAGACAGTGGGCAAAGTTAACGAGCAACGAATTCAAATCAATGGACTTATCTTCCTTTCCTACAGGCAAATGTCAACCACGTGTTGATATTTATTCAAACCAACTACATTTAATTTAAATTTATTCGTAACAATATTACAAATACGCAGTGTATTTGATTTAAGCCAAAATCCGAATACAGTTTCATTAGAAATCGAAAAACTATTGAAAACCTTGAGAAATATTGGATTTTTAAATTTTATTTATACATCTATAAATGAAACTCTTTTACGGGTTGCATCGCTTTTTAATTTGATTTTAAATTACCGCCGTTTCTAAACCTTTCCAATGAACGATGATTTGCTATCACATGTATAAATGTGAATTTTCATTTTCACATTTATACATGTGATAGCAAATCACTAATAAAATGTACACATAATATATACGTAAATAATAAGTAAACTAAGCATTGTTAACAATGCTGTTTTACCGATGTTATTGCGTTCAATTTTGTTCAAAACCGACGTAACGTCTTATTGTCATACTCGGCCCGAGGTACTATATATATGTACCATATGGGACTATTGTACATGTACCATGTTACACTGTAAACTGATATTTTAAAAAAGAGCGATTCACACGGGAAATTAATCGCGATCAAGTTCCGCTACAAAGTTTCATTAAGGATTTTCGTGATTTTCAGTTTACAAAAAATCGTGATCAGTGTGAAATTTAGCAAGGTTTTCATTATATAAAGGTATATATATTATAGCAAGGTATTGTTATTCATTGTACATAAAACTGCTGTGTCATATTCTATGGAAAGTGTTTTTTCCCTACCATGAATAGAGCAGTTTCATTTCGAAAGTCACTTCTGCACCTGTTTTTGTGTACCTGTCACATTGTATGTATCATCATATTATTGTATTTACCGTGCCCAAACAGATTCCCTCACAAAATTGCATACAAAAACATTGTCCTTTTAAATTCTAAGATCCTCAGCTGATCCGGTGGCTAGGGAGTCCCACTCTCACTACCAGATCTGCTGAACGGTATTAGTATGAGGTATCCCGGTCAAAACGCGTACCCAGTAAAAGCCACGCAGCACCTCTCTCACTCATCTTTCGGTGACACGGGGCCACGGAGACGCAATCATCCATTGTCCGAACGCGATATACGAACCTTCAAGAAGAGAGCGTACTCTTTCAAGGCTAGCCACGCATTTGCAAACCCTCCGGTGTTGCAGGTGTCCATGGGCGGCGGTGATCGCTTACCGCCAGGTGAGCCCCCTTCTCGTTTGCCGCCTTTTTCCCATAAAAAAAAACAAACCTTGTCCTGTGCACAAATGTGAAGGAACTCCTCCCATCTGGGCCGCACGTGGTACACGTAGAAGTGGTGCGCCAGCTCGCAGGTGGCGCCCGCCTCGCCGCCCGCCCGCAGCGCCCTCTGCAGCTTCGCGGCCAACTCGAGCAACTCCAGCCGCTTCGCGAGCACGTAATTCACGCGGCCGTATCTAGCCGAGCCATAGATTAGCCGTGTGAGATGGACTCTTACGGAGTAACATCGGTGGACGCTTCAATATGAACCAGTACAAATGAGCTGGTTTGTAGAGTAACATCCGATGGATAGTGCTATTTGAACCAGTTTAAATAAGCTGGAGACGCTTTTTCTGCACCTGTATGAGATATCTAATAGTGTTTGTGAGATTTATCCGCTCGAATTCCGCTCGAGATATATAAAATATTCTCGATCCGATATATTTTTTCACAAACCACAATTAATACTTTTACATTTTCTCCCTTCTCTCTTTGTAGTTAAATATTTTGTGCAATTTGTGAAACCCACTTCAACGAATAGGATGATGATTATAGAATGCTCTAAATCAAGGATGAGCAATGCGCGGCCCGCGGGCAGCTTGCGGCCCCTTTAATATGTTTATGCGGCCCGCCAAGCATTTCTAAAATTGAATTTATTTTATCGAATTTCTCCCATCATTATATTGTTATAAAATTAATTATAATAAAATGGTAGTACCTACATACTGAACCGAAATACTTTTTTATTCGTTTTTCTGTTCTTTTCTTCTTTGTTTTTTTGCATTAAAATTTGTATATGAAATCTTTACTTTTTTTTAATTTTATATTTTTTTAATTCTAATATTTATTATAAATAAAGTTTCGTAAATTATTATGTGCGGCCCGCCAAAAAATTTTAAATTTAAATTGGCCCATTGATTAAAAAGGTTGCTCACCCTTACTCAAAATAATAATTTAGTAAGATGTTGTTATACCAAGTAAGAATTTGTTAAAAATAAGTATTTCATCTATAGTTGGTGAATTTTTTTTCCAAGAGTTTGTTTGCTCTTATTGAAGCAATTCATATATTTTTTTGCTTTTTTACTAATATTGTCTAAAGTATAACGGTTTTCCATCATGATTATTACTTTATTATCTAGTTTACCTTGAGAAGTCCTTGTCGGTTTGCAAGGCCTCCTCGCCGTGCCCTAGACGGAGGAGGTGCCTCTCGTCCACGTCCAGCTCGGCGACCTTCTCGAACAGCTGGTTGAGCGCCTGGTTGCTGTGCGTCACCACCAGGGTGCGCTGCCACGGGAAATTGTGGTACAGGTTTGATATTATCTGCACGGCCACGTCAGTTTTGCCTGCAAACAATGTTAGCGATAAATATAATAATACTATTTACAAGGATATAATAATGACCAAGTGAATAAATTTTTTATGACTTATATCACTTTCGATATTTTACGCGTTTTATTCACAGCTAACTCCTTGGAGCGTTGAGTGTATGATGGTAAAAATATAGTAAATTTTTATAGCGAGTTTAAATGAGAACACACTGCCAAATTAGGTTGAATAAATTAATATTCAGTTTATTATTTTGTGTAATTTAAGTTATAATAACTCAAAATGTTTTAAGAGTAGCCTATAGGTCCTTCTTATGGTGAGTGACAGGGAAAATTCATGCGACTCTTTTGACAATAGTTTTTGTTTTCTCAAAATACTTTTCCCACTTTATGTGGCAACGCATTTGCAACCATGCCAGGTGTTGCAAATGTCCATGGGCGGCGGTTACCATTTGGTACTTCGTCACATAAAAAAATAGGCGGGCGTTCTTCTAACCTATAGAGAAATATATATTGTATTATACAAAATTAATAATATATTACAATATAAATATGAATATTATATTATACAAAAGAGAGATCATAGATTTGATGAAACCTCATTTGCATAGTTAAAATTGTTTTTTACGTTACCTTAATCTAAACACACAATTACTTATAACAAAAGACGACTTTAAATGATTCGGAAGTCTGTTTCTCTCCAATACAAGAGTTTGAAAGAGAAAGGCCCATACGAAGAACGAAGTCTATATGAAGAAAGCCCATGTGATGAACGAAGCCCGATATGAAGAGGCGTCTAAACACTTCCCGGGTGCGTTATATCCTATGGTTATGTCTCTGCCTCACCTGTTCCTGGAGGACCAACAACCAGCGTCAGTCCAGGCTGCATGCCCGAGCGAATCGCTTCCACTTGTGTCGGCGTGAAGAGAATATTGTTTCTGCCGGCGAAATTTAGCATACATAATAAAGATATTGCTTTGCACTTGCTCTGCACTTGCAAATGCCCTGGCACCTGCTAATTTTATACTTAAATACTATTGTGTATTTACTTAAATAATTTATTAAAAAAAATATATGACGGCAGAATTTCTTGCCGGTTCTTCTCTCGGCAGGTCTAGTTTTGTGAACCGGTGGTAGTTTTTGACGTTCAATAAGAGCTTAAAATAAGCCTACGTTGAAAAAAGAAATTTTGACTTTTGATTGGTTTTCAGTTTAAAATTATGAATAGTACCTGGAGAACCAAGCTTTGCTCGGATTTTTTGGTAAATCATGTATTTTGGAAATAAAAAGAAATAGAAAATAAAGCAAATGATCTGGTATAGAAAAAAAAGTAAAAAAAATAAGTGTGTAAATGATCGTGATACGAATCGCGGCCGTCTGTTTCGGGGCCGCCTGCTTACCTACCGAGCTATTATAACATTTTTTTTGCGGCGAAATTGACTGTCATATTCGAATGATATTTTTCATTCCCTGAAAACCGGGACATAAGGACATTTTCTAGAAATGAAACCTAGCTAGATCGATTTTTCGCTTTACTGAATTTCATGAAAATCCCTGGAACCGTTTCCGAGATTCCGATTATATATACAAGAATTGTTCGTTTAAAGGATAAGATTATTTTTCTACATATGTTATGACGAGAGAATTAAGAATTAAGGTGTTGAAAATGGAAAAGATATATGATAAAACCAGAAATCTTTCACACAGATTGAAATATTATTACTTGCAAATATTTGTCTTGTTTAAAGAAATATAATAAAGAATTTTAAAATCGTGATTAGCATTTAATATAAATTTTTATTTCAAGTTATTCTGCAAATAACAATAATTTCTTTTATATCTTCGCACATTACATGACGTTGGAATACAATAGTTGGTTCAGCTAAAGTACGACTATACGCTATAATGACTATGTTGAGATCATACTGACGGTACTGCTGGGCAAGTCAGAATGTCAGTGATCATATCCAATTTGCATGACTGTACCAGGAAATAGGCCACTAAGTGATTAATTATATTATATTGTATAATTCTTGTATGTTGATGCGACCACGATGATTATGAGATCACATATAGTGCCTGTAGAGACAGTTTTCGTGGCATTAAAGCACACAAAATAATTCGTATGAGCCAGACAAGCGTTGACTCCAATGCTATATTAGTGATATAGAAGTCGAGAATGAGTCACGCTCTGATAGGCCAATTGTCTAAAATGTTGATAAAATTATGGAAAATGTCGAGTCACACTGGCACCTTGAGTACATTGAGTACGTTAATTGTGGTATGGAAAATAAATACTTTCTTTATCCGAGTAGACTAGCTTCTAATTAAACAATACAGCATGGCATTATAATGAAGGATGCGCGTAATAGAATTTTCAACGCGAAGTTTATAGCGAGCTTAAAGAATGAGGAGGAATGTGGAATTCTATATTGTCAGCCAACCCCTCTCGATAGCGGGCGTGAGCTTATAAAAGTTGTATGTTAAGACCCTGTCCAACAAAAGATCCATGACCGATCGCAAACTATGAACGCAAGTCGCTTTTTGAATCTGTGTTAAAATATTACATCTTAAGACTCCATTGTTAACAAGACCATTGTTCTATTTCTAGCGATTACGTACGGTGTCGACCTTGTGTTGAGTTGATACTTCTAAATCTTGGTATACGTTTCATCTACATAAGAATTTTAATGGTGAAAAAAAAAAAAACAAAAGATTTAATGACAGTTAACGGTAACAGGAAAGCGAAACTATTAAGCGATTAAGTAAATTTTTACATTTTGTTACTGATGCTCCTCATTCCGGTAACGATAAATTAAATATTATAATCCTGATGACGAGGAAGGTTCTAAGGAATTCATTCTTTGAATAACTACTCTGTGATCAGCATGTAACTTAATCGTTTTTATATAATGAGGAATGAACCGAATATTCACGTAAGAGTAAGACAATCGCGTAGTCTATTAATGAAAGAAATGTTTTGCGAAAGAGAAGACTAAAAAAGTTATTAGTCTATCCATATTTCTTTAGTTGAATCAGATTGCTATTATATATTTGTGGTACTAGCCGGTATGTGGGGAACGCCTACTATGGACCCTGATGATACCAGACATGTTTCAGACGTGTCGCCAACTGCTAAAAGTGTGGATGGAAAGCAGTAATACTAAACGCCGCTTTCCTATGAGGCAGTAAAAGTATTTTTTATAAGTTGGTTTTTAAATTTACCGGATGACATTTTCGCTTGATAAAAGATTCATTCGTAGTATAAAAAGCGGGTTTTGACCACAGGGACGGCTATTCTCAACTCTGATGTCTGTGACTCTGGCCGATGTAAAGCCGGGAATGGTGCGAAGTATATCCGAGTGTGTTTCTACTATACTCGTAGAATAGATAACACGAGATAATTAGAAGCAAGTGAGAACTAGAAGTCTTGTAGAAACTAATGTATGTATCAAAAATGTATTTGATTTTTCAAAAGCGCAGATTTCTTACAATGCGCTTTTTCTATTTCGAGCTAATTACAAAAAAAAATAATTAAACTGGAGCTGCTAGAGATATAACAGCTACGAGAAGTGATGTTATCAAGAAGTATTTTACTTAATGTAATTCTGGGACTTACTTTTTAGGTTCGTTGTAGAGATAGGGGCCACGTTTGGGCAACACGTGCGGCTCGACGATGATAGCCTTGTGTGGGTCATCTTCGTCCATCGCTTTATCGCCAAGCTTCTGTTTCCGAAGAACATTTTCAAACGTGACCCTGCGAAAAAGATTTGACGATAAACATACGTGAAAATTTGTCCGATTTCTATTACATTTGTTTAGCAAGTATCTCATGGAATCTGATGAGAATTTCATTTGCTTCAGTTCTGTGAAGCTTTATCTATTTTCAATTGCATCTTTTTCGCTAATACTCAATGCGAACAAAGAAATGGTGTCAATTTCTAAATGTTCAAAAATGTTAATTTCATCATTTCATGTGATTGAAAATTCAGTAGGAAGTAAGTAAAGACATAATTACAAGAAATCAAAACTCCAAAAATAAGAAGCTCGACCCATATGCAAATGCAATTAATTTTGAAAGCGCATAATACACTATACCAGTTTCCTAACTAGTTTGCCTTTCGTCAGTGAATGTTTGTACACTTGTCCAAGTATTTCTTAGAAACTAATTAACAAATGAAATAAATTTATTAATTATTAGTAGCAAAATAGCGAAATAGCTTTCAAATTAACATGACAAGTTTCTTTAAATTCGTTCAGTAGTCTTACCGATGCGGCCAACTGAAAAAAATCACATCGTCGATTTAGTTTTTCGCAGAACTTGCTGTTCTGCTCTCAATATCGGTACATTGGTTGTATAAACAGCGCTATTTCTCCGGCAATCTACGATTGGCGCCACTTAGACCGCGTATTTTTACAACGATGAGATAATCGCCCAACGGGACCGCTTTAAGTGACGTATGAACATGTTTTTCATATGAAACAACATCTGGCGCGTCTGGCGTATCGTGGCATGGGAAAAACTAATAAAGAACCCATAGCTCGGTTGGCGCGGTAGCGTTGGCAAGTGTGCCAACTGAACGATAGTCGTGGGTTCAATTCTCGAATGGGAAACTATTTGTTGGACCCGCAGATAATCGTTCTGAATTTGTATGTCTTCAATTTGCGTCCTTGTTCCGTTAGGGGGCGTGTTTATGCGTGTAGGGTGACACTTCTCACAGGGTGGGGCGAGAGAACCGACGAGTGAAGACTGGAAAGGGTACTAATCGGGAAGAAATAAGAAATCAAGAGAAAAAACGACAGCAAAGACATGCGTGCTCTTTGCTAATAGATTATTATGAAAAATCGGTGATTCCAGCTATTGTTCAGTTTCCCTGTTATCTCTTAATATAAACGGGTAACTAAGAGTCACTTGCCACCGTTGTGCACACGGTACCTATTACGTACAGGTCTTAAGTAAATCTGCATTCCGATGTGGGCCTTTTATGGCGCCAAGCGATCGAGAGACAACGATGAAACACAAGTATACGTGCAGCCCCGGATCTATGGGGAGGGGGGGGGGGTCGGGCAAGCCGGGGCCCATGCCCCGGGCAGCAAGTTCAGAGGGCGGCAAATTAACATTTTACAGACGAATGGACAACTCATAATTTACTCAACTTTTCCCTAACAACTCGACCGATGGACCCAGAGCGTTGAGTTAGACGTGCTGCACGAACATTATTATTCGTGAGGCGCTGTCGATCTTTTGCAACACATCTATGCGCATGATTTGCAGGATGATTTTCCTAATATTAGGTCCGTACATATGAAATTAGCGCATTGTCATACTGACCATTTTTATCTGAAATATCCTCTCTTTGGTTAAGACTTCCAAATTCAAGTTTATAAATTAATTCCATACCGCATAATGGAAAACATGAAATATCGGTATATTTACGAGTACGAGTTCTAGCGTAGCACCAGTGCTGCAGAAACAGCTCGAAGGATTAATGATTTGTACGGCGCTGGTGTCGCAATAGAAAGCGCGGTACGTTTTTGGTTTCAACGTTTTCGTCCATAATCTATAAAAATGGCAGTAAAACATGTCTGTTGTATACCGCTTAAATATTTTTTTATTATGTTTTTTATTATTTGAGGTTATGGCGGCAACAAAAATACATCATCTGTGAAAATTTCGACTGTCTAATTATCACGGTTCATGAGGTACAGCCTGGTATGGATACAGCTTGGGTACGGAACCCTAAAAACAACTTGCAGTTCATTAACACGTAATAGTCCACTATTAACAATTTTTACTCACTTAAACGGCCTTACGAGTTTCCTAGGGTCGTCCGTCTGCACCTTGATCTCGTAACCGGGGAAGCTCTTTCGCAGGTGTTCCATGTCCAAGAATGTGTCGTTGAAATCCAGAGTCGGTATTTCATCGGGCAGCCTGTATTATTAGAAGAAAATGTCACATGTTTCTATAAACATGTATATGACATATCATCATCCACCTGCATCCATCGACCTCTCACACACTTGCACAGGTACCAATTATAATTAAAACATACTAGCTGCTGCCCGCGACTACGTCTGCGTAGAATAGGCTGAAGGCATAATATTCAGACGGAAAGACAGATATATATAAAAATATGTGTATAAATTATAGCCTATGTCTTATTCTGATGTATAAGCTATATTATTGTTAAATTTTATTAAAATTCATTGAGTATTATTTGCGTGAAAGAGTAACAAACATCCATCCATAGATACAAACTTTCGCCTTTATAATATTAGTAAGGAAGTAAGGATAACATATGTGGCAAATAGGTAACAATTATAACATATAAATGTATGCAAATGTTATAATTTTCTGTACTCAAAATATGTATAAATTGCAGTGATCATCAACAAATTTTAAACTACTAAAAGAAAAGTTCAAAAGATCACAAATGTATACTTTGCTATCCATACAAATGACTCCCGAAATAATTTCGGTCATGGCCGTGTATCCTTAAATGTCAGCACATGACACTGCATAAAACACCCATTGTACGGGATATCATAAAGATCTGATTGCGCATTAAACTAAACAGAGCGTACTTATTTTGATGATTCATACATTAGCATTATATGACGCAATACTTAAGTACTTGGCAGTAAATATGTGAAACAAGAAAAAGACAGCGTCTAGCAAAAAGAGACATATCTCAATATTCGGTTCTCAAGGGATGTGCAAATGCAATCGCATTATTTAAAAATGTGGTATCTGTATCGAAAACCTGGCCGTTGTTTCACTATCATCTAAACTGAATATGATAATCCGTAAATGGTAAACGCTTAGCTTCGCAACTTCCCTAACGACTCGTAGGTTATAGGAACTATCCGTAGGTAATGTGACCACTCGTAGGGAAACGACTCGTTGTGTGAATATAGGAACCGGGTGTAAGAGAATTAAGGATCAACAAGTTGTTTTGTAGGGTCACTTAATCCTTACTAATATCTTCACTAATATTATAAACGCGAAAGTTTGTAGGCACTGACTAGATTTTAATGAAACTACACTTATATAGCTTATTCATCAGAATAACACATAGGCTAAATAACACATAATTTATAAAGACATTGTTCGAATTGACCAAAATATGATAAGTGTCAACTAAGTAGGAAAAAATTCAGCCATCTGCCAGATATTCTCTGTACTAATGAAAAACTCATTCATATTTCCCCATGGCCGCGCGGGCGAAGCCGCGGTTAACAGCTAGTGTGTTCATAGTAAGAAGTGGACATGTGGAATGCGTTAAATTTAAAGAAAGGATACACCTTTGTTCAACTCTAACGCATTCCACGTGCAAGCGAGCGCATCACCTGGCGTAATGGGCCTGCCCCGGGTCGCCGTAGCCCAGGACTATGTCGTGGAGCCACTCGGGCACCACGCACTCGGTGTTCATCAGCTCGCGGATGGTCTCCAGCACGGCCTTGAAGTTGTTCTCCTTCGGCTTGCGTCGCATCACGATGTTGAACGTTTCGTATACATCCTGGTTCGGCAATTAGTGGCGTCAGTTATATGTTAAAACTCTTCGGGTTTAGTGAATAAGTGACAAGTGAAGCGTTGCTATTGTTATATACATATTCGGAGTAATGTTTTGGGGCAATGCTAAGTAAGACATATTTTGAAAATAAAATAAAATATCTGAAAATACTACTACTGGTAACTACATCATAATGTTATATTTTCAGAACTATAAAATTAAATATAATTAATATTACATCGATGGTGCTGTATTTGCTTTGAACTGTTTAGTGATCTTATAGGAAATTCTGAAACCTAATAATTATCTTAACGATTACTTTAATATTTAACTAAAAAATATAATCAAATATTTTTTCGTGATCTGTGTTAATTACATTTTTATGGTTAAGTTACCTCCTTCCCTTTGCTGGCGCGGTCCAGGTCAAGCCTGTACTGGTTAGGGTCGAGTAGAAGGCGGAACGTTCTAGAATCACCGTCCAGTTCGGGTCTCGGCTCTGGGCCTTCTTCTATGACCCTCCCGGAAGCGTCAAGCATGCCCTCCACTTCGCAACCCCTCACGTATACAATACCCGCTTGGTCCACCATGCTCTTTCTGTAGTCGTATTTTGTTCCTAAAATGTTATAATTCAATTTATTTTCGCTCCCCCCGTCTCTCCCTCTCTCTCTTTCTCTTTGGTTGGATAGACAGAGATAGTGTAGATCACTAAACTTTTCTTTTGTTATTATTTCGAAAACATGCAACATTTCTCACGACGAACACTTATACTAATAATTTCATCGGTCCAGTCGCTCGAGTATATCGAATTAGAAGCGAGCCCCTGGACACTAACTTCAACCACATTCATATTATATATATTCACCTATCCCTTGCGTCGGCCGCACGGTCACCAGGAAGCAGACGTCATGCTTGCGGAGACTCTCCCACTCGCTCTTGATCTCGTTCCTCACGCTGAGGGTGACTGTGACGTCAGCTCGGACGCGTGACGGTGCCTTCTCGCCGATGTTCGGCTTGGCCACCTCCACCACGGCAAAGCTCTGGATCGGGTGCGCCATCCGCGCCCAACCGCCGAAGTACACGCTGCCGTCCTCTGCGCGCCTGGTGGAACGCACCTTGCTCGTGATGGCTCCGTGGCGCATTTGCCAAGGGGTCGTGGGTTCGATTAACGAATGAGGCCACTATTTGTGTGACCCACAGCTATTTCGGATCTGGGTGTTTGTGCGGGTGAGATGTATGTATGCAAAACGTCCTCGAGTCACAGGATAATGTTATCTTGTAGTACGGGGGCAATGTTCTCGAAGTATCAGCCTATACATGTCCCACTGCTGAGCAAAGGCCTCCTCTGTACAGAGGGTATTCATTACTTTGCAAAAAATAAATTATTTCAAAAATAAAGTTTATATCATTTATTACCATTTCGATTATACAATATTTGGAATATTCTATGAGAGAAGGTGGCACGCGAGCAGGCGGTTCACCTGATGTTAAGTGATATCTGCCGCCCATGGACATTTGCAACACTCGAAGTATTGCAGATGAGTTGCCACCTTTTAATAAAGTGGACCCTGGATACCCCACTCACCAGACGAAACTCGAAAGTCTAATATTTCCATTTCACGCCGATCGTCTGTAAGGTGGAAATAAATCTTTACCCTCTAAAAATCCCTAAGTAAACAAATGAATTCGATCAATTGCACTCGAACAAAGATCGGTGTTGTAGAAATTCCCGACTACGCAGGCCGCTATTTATATCCGAGAAAATTCCCATTCTATCAATTAACTAATGCGATAACTAAAACTGTGAATGATTTATTAATCAACCCAACATGAGAAACAACACACTGTCTACTGATAAAGGACCGGTAATGTAGGGCACATAAAGCGGTCGAAATAATGCAGCACGTTTGTCAACATCGAAGGTCCATTTTGCTGTATTATCCGTTTTTGGGCAGCGAGAACACAAACGGTTTTTCGAGCAGAAACGCCAAAAATGTCGAACCACTCAAAAATTTGCATAGAAGTAAATACACGCCAGATTACAGAATTTTGCAAAAATGGAAAACTATGACGATGATAGGGATAGGATAAAATATATTGTACTAGCGAACCGCCGTGGCTTTGCATGGGTACAATGTATTATATACATATAAAACTTCCTCTTGAATCACTCTATCTAGTAAAAAAAACCGCATCAAGATCCGTTGTGTAGTTTTAAAGATCTAGGCATACATAGGGACAGACAGACAGCGGGACGACTTTGTTTTATACTATGTTATGATTATGATTTACCAAAATCCTTTGAATAATCATATTTGTTCTTGACAATAATTTTTATTAAAATTAAGACAACGCAATATTTATAAATTCACATACAAGGTTTCATTCAAGGTTAGCATAATGCAAAGTAAGTCAGTTAACATTAAGGTTATCTTACCATGGGGCCAATCTGTAAACTGCGTCCTCAAGGTCTTGCCGGATTTCGTCTGCAACAAATATTGTAGAATCAGAATGGTTATTTCAAACTATAGTTCAGTATTTTGAAATATTTATTTAAACAATTATAATCACAAAGTTTTCAATATTCTTGTCTACGTATAGGCAAAATATCCGCAATGTTAAAGAACAGCTTTAATACAACGAAGTGTATTCTCAGTACTTCTTACTTTGTGGGGACACAAAGTTTCCGTTACGGATATGGCCCTATCAGTCAGAACTACGGTGGTGGCCATCACCTCTAATGAGGCTTAACCATTTTGATTGCGGCAAAACATTTTTCTAAACTGTCTCGAAAAATGTCAATATGATAAAAGTTTTTATTATAATTACGACAAACTTTTACACTAAAACCGATTTTAGAGTTTTTCGTGTAACACAACGGTATAAAAAAGAGATCATTTGCACGAGAGTTGACTCTGGGACACTTAAATGAAATATTTGAAAGTACATAGGGAGATTTTTTATTTATACTTCATTGTTACACCTTAGGCTAAAGACTACAATGGGCGGACTTAATGCCTAATGGCATTCTCTACCAGTCAGCCCTTTTCATGGTGAGAAGTAGATGGAAATTCAAAAAATATGGACCTTAATGAGGATCATCGCAGTCTCACACAGAAGCTATGGCCCCTTATTTTCTATATACTAAGAATCGCCCAAATGCGAGTCGGTGTCGCGCACGAAGGTTTCCGTACCATTATCTATAAAAACGGCAAAAAAAAAATCATGTCTGTTGTATGGGAGCCCCATTTAAATATATTTTTATTCTGTATTTTAGTATTTGTTGTCATAGTGGCAACAGAAATACATCATCTGAGAAAATCTCCACTGTCTTACTATCACGATTAATGAGATACAGCCTGGTGACAGACGGACAGACAGCGGAGTCTTAGTACTTACGAGATATTGAAGGTGAAGTGTTCGTTAATTGCAGTGGGTTTTCCCTTCTGAAGGTTGAAGCAATCAAGCCAGTTCGGCGAAGAAGTGGATTCGTCCTCAACTGTTATTAGTTGCCATTAGGATAAAGGTCAAATTATGACGGTTGCTGCAGCCATTTTTCAATTAGAATCGCTACATTACCCTTATGACAGACTTAATGCATTACAATGACTAATGTCGGAACAAACGGTGATCCAATAGTGCTGTCAGAGGTTACACTTGACTGGGCACAGACAGCGTATAACTTATTCAAGACTTATCTCAAATAACTAACTAGAATTACTTATTGTGAAAGAATGTTTCAATTGCATAAAATAAAAAGGCTTTTTTATTTATTTATTTTATTTATCTCTAGTAAAGATACTCATACACTAATTCTGCACTTAATTTCGATCCTACGACATAATTAAAGTATGCCATAATATAACACCGTAATAACATGTTTCCTTCTTTGTATTTAATTTAAGGTTCGTCATAAAGCAAATCTTGATATTAGTCAGGACTCCGACCAGACACCAAAAAATAGTGGATTAATAACGTAATGACCAATAAGTAGTAAGTCAGTCATGATATTATGCATATAGGCGTGGGTGATATATGAATATTAATTATATCATTCCATCTTAGATCACAATATCTATTTAGATAAATTTTATGTTCTGTTGATGGATGGATGGATGGATGGCTCATGTTCGTGCTTCGTGGCAGTTGGTGAGGGAGGCCTATGTCCAGCAGTAGACTATATGGTGATGGTGATGATGATGATGATATGAAGTTTATTACGATATCTCTTGGTTTTAGTCAACAACACATTTTGATAATATGTATATTTTACTATGTATATATATTAATCAAATAATCTATCGTGATGTGAAATGAAAACTTTGGATAAAATCTCTTTAGGAACAATGCGCACTCGATGGAGTGTAAGAAGTAAAGCAGAAAATCAATATATATACACATACAAGTGTTACGAATACATAAAATAAAATTAAAATAATTAATTGCATTCTAAGTTATTTACGTATCACACTGACCATGTCAAACACCTGGTAATTATCTAGGTTAATAAATATTAGTATAAAGATTGTCGCTTGGTTTTTGAAATGTCACACTGGCTGAATGTAAAAAAAATGAACTACGGTCGAATTTCAATTAATGAGCGACAAATAGTATAATGTAATAAGACATGCCTTTAAAACGCCTTTATCACCGAGGAAGCCATTGTGTACTATAGTACCCCGAAAATAAATGCTAATCAAAGAGGGGCATTATCTGCATAGAGCATTGTTCCTAAGCCTCAAATCAATATGAAAACAGGTTAATGTAATTAGGAAAAATAGCTTGTTTTGTTCATTGCTACTAGGTAAATCTTGGTACTGATAATTGCTTTGTTTTTAATGGACTATGTTTGCATTAATGACTAAAAGACAACAACGTTCAATTTAATATATGAAATTTTTTCTCAGAAGTGTAGAATGCTGTGCGTAAACAATACTTAGGAAAAACTGTTCCAGATGAAAAACAAACATACATCGCACATATCTTTAGTTCGTTTTCTAAAACTTCCTTATTTTTTTTTAATATAATAAATCAGACGACTGTCACGGAACAATGTAGAAAGATTACTTCAAAGTCAGTGCGTCTCCAAAGCAGTTAATTTTCACAGTATGGATAATGAATTCGAAATGTAATCCGAGTAAAAGTCTTCAGATAGTTACATCTTGTACTTTTCTTATAAACTAAACTACTATCGCAGACACATGCTTCCCCGAGAGTATCGCCATATTCAAGTAGATTTAGTGCCTTACGGCCGGTTTCAATATTCTATCTACAGATAGATTTCGTTACTGGCGATAGGTATTTGACATTAGCTCTATAATACTTACTTCAAAATTATTTCTCCAGTAGCCAAATCTACAGATAGATATAGGTTATTGAAAACGGCCGTTAGTTGTCAAGTCAATACGGCAAAGTTAACAGGAAATTGGGAGGCAGCTCACATGTACTTTCTAGCCGAAACAGGTTGAAGTTCCTCAGCAGGTAGTCGTGCAGCGTCAGGAATTGGAGGTTCAGCTTCGGCAGGGCGAGGCAGTTCTCGCCGCTGTATATCTCCGTGGGCACGACATTCTCGTCCCATATCACCTCCTCGGTGGGGTAGAGCGGCATTGAGTTCAACTCCTCCAGCTGAGATATACGCCTCTCGTGTCTCGAGATCTAGTTGTTCAAGACAAGCGCTGTTACTTCTTCTATTCAACAAAGGTTGGGAAATAAACAGCGAATGGATTTCAATTTACAAATTGTTTATTTTTCTTAATTAGTGTCATGCTTTATATTGAACGATAAAATGCATTTGTTTAAAGATAAATCAAATTGTCAACTAATTTAGACCAAATAAAAGTGCCCTTAAGATGAAACATTAAAATTTGTATATAGACGACAAGTTTTTCGCTAATGCGGGAATCGAACCCATGTGTTCCTTGGCGCGAATCTGAAAGACGCGGATTCGTTTCCCGTAGCGGCGAAAAACTTATCGTCCATTTTATATACAAATTTTATTGTTTCATCTTAAGGGCACTTTAATTTAGTCCTGCCTAGGAAGGACCACAATAAACTAATGTAAATATGTATAAATTCTTTTTATTTTCAATAAATACGCTTATCTTGAACCCCGCCAGTTCTTCCTTAACCTGCAATACAATTTATCGTTCCGAAACGTTCCAATTGCTTCAATCAGTTTGAAAAAAAAAATTGATTCATAATACTGTTATAGAAACAATTCAATAGTTACCAGAAGCTCTCTGAGGAAGTCCTTATCCAAGCGATGCCAGGGCGCTTCATCCTCTTTGCCTTCGGGCGGTACGAGATTCAGATAAGTCGCGATGGCGCGCAAGGCTTTGTCACTGTTCAAATGTAATTATTGTTAATAAAAGAACGCAGTGGCCTAGTATAGGTTTACACTCAAAATGACCTTAGTTCGGTTATCGCATGTTGTAGATGGCCTATGGATATCTACAAGAGGGGTTGCAGATACATTGCCGATCTCTAAATGGGGCTTTTTACCCGGTTACATAACTCGACACTTCACGCCGAAAGTACTTTCACTTAACGCCGGTCTTCTGAGAGGCAGTAGGTACTTTCCCGGACGACGCTGCCATTCGAGCAACACCAGAAGCTGAACCCAACCACAGAGCAACAGATATAGCAGAAGCTTACCGTCACAGTGCCATTACTGCATGGAAGAAATATATGCATGATCTGCGGACGATTGCCCCCGGACTTGGCTTCGGCTATTGCAATGTATGTTTTCAAGACATCCCTCTAGTCTAATCTGACCAAATAGTTGGGATTTTATGAATAACGTCGTTCGAACTTCCATTTCAGTTTACACATGACGTTTTCATCGTTTTGAATGAGTATTGTGTGGACTCGTTTCTGTTACATTAGCCCAATAAATATGTAAATATAAATACAGAAAAGTTAGTCACAAGAAACCAATAATAATTATTAAACACGGGAAAATTTTATGTTATAACGTATTTCTGTAATTACACGAATTGTTCACTTATCATGTAATTCGCATTCTCGTTAAATGATGTATATTTAATTATGTATCACATAATTTGTTTTATTAATGATCATGTTTCAAATGGAATCAATGAGTATACCGTAAGAAGAAATTTAGCAAAAAATCGGTATTGACTTTAAACTTGCTAATTTTTGTTGAGAAAAATACTGACCTTAGATTACCGAAATGCTTTTGTAAGGTCTCTCTCGTGTCGACACTGGCGACATTCGCTAGGGCGAAGAGGCGTAGATCTGGAAACTTAGAAAACGCTGCTTTCTGCAAAGAATATCAAGGTTTGGTTACAGCTCAATAGTTATTAAGATAAACATTGGATGCGAAAGAAACATGATAATGTTGATCGAGACAAGGATTTCAAGTAACTCCGCTTTTTATTTAGTTTTCACCTCTGCATCTCCCACGATTAAAATGAAATTTTGTATGCGGCGAGTTTCGGGAGCGATGAATCGATATAGCTAGGTTTCATTTATAGAAAACGTCGCTTTATCCGTGTTTTTAGGTAATGAAACACGTCATTAGAATACGAAGGTAAATTCGCGGCGGAAATCAGCGGACCCACTTTCGAGTCCAGATGGTTTTTTCCCTTTTTTTTACAAATTCCTTCTTTTGTAACAAAAAAAAATCCGAGCAAAGCTCGGTCATCCAGGTGCTTTTACTTATGGCACCAAGATTTACCTAAAATTGAAATTATAAAACAGCAGTTAGCTTTGAAGTAATGGTGTTTGTACAAATCAAAACAATTTGCGCTCATCAGTGGTTCGTTATTTATGATTCATTGAACGTAATTTGATACGTGATTCTGCTTAGTCAGTGTCAGTCTTAATGTTTCCTTGAAATAGTAGTCGAAATTTAGTAGCGGTTTACCTGCAAGGAAGTTATTCTTGAATAGTGCTGCAGAGTCATGTCTCGATCCGTCATCGGGTCACCGGTTTCGTCGCTGATCTCAAAACGAGCGTAGAACTTCAGCATTTGTAACAACTGCAAAGAAAAGGACCAAGCTACTGAAATGCCCAAAAATAAAATTCCACTCTCTTAGAGATATTGACTGACTCCCGTGCCACGACTCAAAGATACATATAGGTTTTATGTTCCACATTTCAGCTTGATACAAAATTTGTAGCTCGGGGTTTGATTCCCTTACAGGACAAGTATTTGCGTAACCCACAGATAATTATTCCGGATCTGGGTGTTTCTTCCCAAGGAGGGTTGACATCAAACAGGCTGGTCGTAAAAAACCTGTATTGTCGACCTCACTTAGGAGGGATAGAGGCAGAAGAAAGAAGAAAACAACATTAATAGCATCGAGCAAATTACGAAGGCTACGGCCGGAGGATGCAAAAATATGCTAATTTAAATTTAAAAATACTTATTTATTACATAAAAATTACAAGTTAACTATTTCTAAGTGAGGTGACGGTTGCTCGAAGTGTGAGACAAGAGTGACGCTCGCTGCGATGCTTCGGACGGTCTCGGCGTCCAACACCTGTGTTGCGCAACCACTTCGTATCCGTGGGATTACGGGCGACGGCACGTAGCACGGAATAAGCAATCCCTTGAGAATGGAATGTGGAATGTTGTAGCTGGGTGGTTGCAGTGTAGGCGATTTCCGGGATGTATAATCGTGTAACATCTCCCCCCGTAGATCAGCGACTAATCGAGAATCTTTTTCGAGAGGGTTGCTGAAATATTCTTATGATCAACCCTTATTTCACTAGGGTTGATTCGCCTTAGCGCTGGGGTCGCTTCTAATATTTTTGGTACGTCATTGGCGGCTTCCGTTGCTTTTCTTTTTGTAGGTGTCTTGCTCAGAGTCGGCGATACAGAAATGCAGCACTTAGTGATGCTGCACTCAACAGAATTAGGTAAATTGGAATAGTGGTGTGGTATATAGTTGAATCGGTGATTTTCTTCAAGTGAGTAGGAGCTTCGAGGGCTATTTTGGTGCTTAGCGCATGAAGATCTTTCAAATTCGGCATGTTCAAGTAATCGGTGTACGCTGTAGATGTCTCGATTCATTATATTGGGGTATTTCCATGACTCTCACTACATGGCCCTGGATTTGGTCGTTAGTATTGGAAATGGTTATTTGAGGCGTTTTCAAATTGCAGTTTAGTGGGATGACAGCTAGGTAGCTTCCTTTTAGCGTCCGGTACTGTTCTTGTCCGCAAGTAATTTTTACTTTTGTTTGAGTCGGAAAGTTAAGCGTGCTTATCGTCTAGTGCTTCAAAATCTTCGCTCTCCTTGACTGCGACTTGAGTCAGCTTACAGGGTTCTTGGAGTTCCTGATTGGTGATTAGATGTTGAACGCAGTCAGGTTTATCTTGAACACTGTATTGAGGCTTCGATTCGCAGAGATACCAAGCATTTATTTTCGGACATTCTGTCTCTATGTACCTAGAGTCTGTGCCAGAGATTGCTACAAAAGGTGAGGAGGGGATAAGGACCTCGTGATTTCTGTTAGGAACGATAGCTAATTTATAGAGGTCGTAGGTTACAGGGATAATAATCGGGACCTTTATAACTATCACTACTTGCTTAGCTAAGAAAAAGTAACCTAACTTAATTATTTCATAAAAAATTCTATAGTCTATTTCAAAGATCTCATCCTTTGAATATAAAATTTTTAACTTATTTATAATATTTTTAATTTGATCTAAACTAACTAACGAATATGGGGTGCTCGATGCACGAATAAACGATAAAGTATTCTCTAGATTTGTTAATTCCTCACATAAGTTCTCAATGTTATCTCCTAAAATAAGAAAATGCTGTGCTAAATGGGCGTATTTTATTAAATCTGTTTCTCTATCAGTGTCGTTTTTCATAATTAATCTTAATGTTTTGCCTATTTTTTCCTGGTTTGATACTATACTATCTATCAGTTTTTGAACTACGCGAGTTCCAATCTTTATTTAAACTTACATGTTTGTTAAATTCGGTTTCTAATTTTTGTTCGTTATCCTGTAAGATCTGGATCGCATTTTCATATTTAATTGCGACTGTATAGTCTAAGTTACCGGAAATACTTTTGATTATTGACCCTAGACCGTCAATGAGTCCTCTTTTATTGCGACTTGATTCGAAAGTATTTAACTGATTTGAAATCCTCTCGAGCTTGTTAGCGAGATGTTCAAGGTGAGGATCGAAAAGGGATAAGGTCTTGTTACTTAACAGTGGCCTTATTTCAATTATTTGGTGTTGGACGGATTCAACCTGTGAGTGAATAACGTTTAAGTCTATATAGTTGAGAAAAGAATGGTAATGAGTCGCTATTTTTGTCGCACCCAATTTAAAGGGTAATCCAGGTCCGTCGTCAAGTGAGTCAATCGTTACATCTTGTCCGTGCGTCAGTTGCAGTAGAAACGTCAGCAGTATTGTCCTGTAACAAGGTGGGATTCTTAGGGCTTCGCTTAAGGCGTGACTTAGCAATTGGGCCGCGTTTCTTTTTAGTGAAGATGTGGATAGGAAGATCAGCAAGGACGGTATTCTGCGTATATCGCGGGGCTAGTTTTTGTCGAGATGCTAGGGGGTTCCGTATGAATACCTGTTGGTCAGGGACATAGTCTTTTTCGGGTTCCCTATCTTTGTTTCGATTTTCAGTCAGTAAAGTCCTGTCATGTAAAGAAGTCTCATTAATAAGGTCAAATACTTGTTTCACTCGTTGTCTGTGGTCACGTAAGTACTATTGTAGTAAGTGTTCGGATATATTTATATCTATCGGGTCACGTGGGCCAAGTGTCCGGTTATTAAGTCTAGAGGCCTGCATTTTGTAAAACTATGAATAGAACTGTTATATGCTAGCACTGCGTAAGGCATTAAATTGACCACTGGCTCATTTCGTTTTTCAATTTTTAATATCCTTAGATGTTCAAGGATTTCGAGTGGAATCGTTCTACTATTCCATTTTCAATGGGTGAATTAGCTAGGGTTTTATGGTGTTGGATCTTGTGAAGTCTGGTAAATTCAACGAATATTTTGAAGCAGTTAAAACCAAATCCGGATAAATCAACTGCCATTCAAAAATTTCCCTTGCCAAAGACTGCCACCGAGATAAAGCACTTTCTTGGATTGCTAGGCTATTATAGAAAGTTCATCCCAGACTTCGCTCGGATAACAAAGCCCATGACACAATGCCTGAAAAAAGGTTCAAAAATAACATATAATGTAAACTTTTATTGACGAATGACCCGATACTACAATATCCTGACTTCACCAAGGACTTCATACTGACGACTGACGCATCTAATTTTGCCATAGGCGCTGTTCTCTCACAAGGCACTATAAGTAGTGACAAACCGATTGCTTATGCATCCAGAACCTTGAATACAAGTGAAACAAATTATAGCACCATAGAAAAAGAGCTTTTAGCCATTGTCTGGGCCACAAAGTATTTCCGCCCTTATTTGTTTGGAAGGAAGTTCAAAATTGTTACAGACCACAAACCTCTTCAGTGGGTTATGAACTTGAAAGAGCCAGGCTCAAGACTTACACGTTGGAGGCTTAAACTTTGCGAGTATAATTTTACCACGGTATACAGCGTGTCGTTACCATCGCGACAATAAATGAACACACATATAGGGGATAACTTTTTAAAGTTGTATTAAACATTTAAATTCTTTAAACATCAATGTTTATAGAGTTATTAAATTTTCCAAAACAAAGAATTTTAGAACACCCTTACCTATAAAAGGCTAACGTAAAGTTCATTTGTAAAGGTCACAAAGCATATGAATGGGTTGAATGAATTTAAAAGAGACAAAACATACTGCTAGAAGGAGAGGCTTATTATACGATGCTGTGGCGCGAGTTGTATAGGATGTTACAAGTTTTGTTTCTTTTTTACTTAATTAGTTTGTTTGAAAAATATTTTTTTTTTAATTATAGATTTTGTTTAACGTTAATATTTTTTTATGATTATTGGCTAGTAGTGTTAGACGTGTGTTCATTTATTGTCGCGATGGTAACGACACGCTGTATAAGCAAGGCAAAAATAACACCAACGCTGACGCTTTATCCCGCATAGAAATTAACAACGAAGATATTAGCTCCATTGCCGTCAATCCATCTGAAAGGCCTACATCCAATACGAGCTCTACCTTGTCAGCCCACACAAGCGCCGAAAATCCAATTTTAGAAATTACCATCTCAGATGAACCGATTAATAAGTGCAGTAGACAGATTTGTTTTATGCTAGTAGGTGACATCAAAAAACGACCAACAGTGACAAAGTCCTTTGAAACTCATACAAAAGTAACTATTCAACTTAGTGAATCAAACCTTGACGTCATCAACGCTGTAAAAGAGTTCATAAATCCCAAGGTTAAGACGGGAATAATAATTCACCCCCCTCTAGCCATGTATCAAATAATACCAATAATACAAGACAACTTCAAAAGCTCCTCAATGAATCTTGTCCTAACTAAGATCGAGCTAGAAAACGTTCAGGAATAATTACGCCAGCAGGAGATTATACAAAAATACCACGAAGGCAAAACGAACCACCGCGGTATTACCGAATGCTATTTAGCTCTATCTTCCAAGTACTATTGGCCGAAAATGAGAGAATGTATTACAAAATACATAAACGAATGTAGTATTTCGCTTGGCCGCAAACACTACCCAAATGGGGGAGCTCCATGCTGATTGGGACGGACGAATTATTCCCTGATTTAACATTTTCGAAATATGTTCCTGAACTTCCTGTCTGTGAACGAAAGGGTATCTATAAGTTTTAGTGTAGACAGGTACTTCATCAGTGGTGCGAATACTGTGTTTAATTTTGTTGGTGAAAGTGAGAGGTTCACCTTCAATATAAAATACATCAGCGTATTGAGCACAGAGCGATTCTAGGTTGGCTCGTTTTTCGGGATTTAGGTGGTCAGTACGTAAACGTGAGAGTACCTCGGTAACTCGATCCATTGGTTTTTCAGTACGGCATTAAAAAGTTCTGCACTAATAGGACGGTCCAT